AAAATAATCCCAAACCCTGCATCACATTCATTTTGGAGCAGACTGCATGCAGCTGCACTAGCAGCAAGCCAGAGGGCAGGGTAAAGGACCTTTTATACACTCACTGCTACCCAAGCAAAGATGGTCACAGTCCCTGAGCCCTCAGGATACCAGGTTCTGTTTCTCCAAGCACCAGCCCAAAGAGTCTCAAAGAAGCAGAGAGCCCAGTAGCTCACAGAGTAGCTGGCAGTGAGGACTAGCAAATAGACAAAGGCTGCACATTCACAGGTGCTGTAGCTGTGGCTACATCCCTTCTAGGCACTAGGGACACAGGAGAGGAAACCTCCCTCCTTGAGCAAATTTCCTCCTGAAATGCTCTTCCACACAAACATTTCCACAAACCAATGTCTTGGGATCACAGATAATTCCCTGCTATGAAATGTGAGCCTTGCATAAGAATGAAGTTAAGAAGGACTTGGGATAGGTAAATGAAAAATTGGGCATGAGCTGGCAGTGTACACTTACAGCCCAGAAAGCCAAGTGTACCTTGGACTGCATCTAAAGCCGTGTGGCCAGCAGGTCCATGGAGGGGACTGTGCCCCTCTGCTTTGCTCTGGTGAAACCCTGCCTGGAGAGCTGCATCCAGCTCTGGGCTCCCCAGGAGAAAAAAGGCATGGGCCTGCTACAGTGGATCCAGAGAAGGGACATGAAAATGGTTAGAGGGACAGAACACCTCTCCTATGAAGAAAGTCTGAGAGGTGAGACTGTTCATCCTGAAAAAGGATCTGGGGATATGTTTTTGCTGCCTTTCAGTATGAAAGAGGCTTATGGGAAAGACAGAGAAAGCCTTTCTACCAGGGTCTGCAATGATAGGACAAGAGATAATGACTTTAAACTTAGAAAGAGTAAATAGAGATTAGATATTAGGAAGAAATTCTTTACCTTCCTATCCCTAGAAGTATTTAAAGCCAGGTTGGATGGGGTTCTGAACAACCTCATCTTAAGGGAAGGTATCCCTGTCCATGGCAGGGGTTTGGTACTAGGTGGTCTTTAAGATCCCTACCAATCCAAACCATTTTGTGGTACTATGGCTCAGTAAATCCCATGTATAATGGCACTGACAAGGCTAAGTTGTCAAAACTACTGAATAAGACTCATATGCCCTTAAGCTGACAGACATATGGACTGTTAGTCCATACAAGGTTCAGAAGCATCATAACCTCTGAATTGCTAACACAGGTCAGATGCCATGATGCTGGGTTCAGCCCCCATAGTCTTACACACACTTTCCTGGGGTTTTGTGTGTTGCTTCAGCACTGAAGAAGAAGGAGCAAGGATCACCATCACAAACAGCCTAGTGCAGCCAGAATTGTTTTAACCTGCCCTTTGTAGAAAGTTCTTCTCCCTGGATATGTTCCCTTCCCCCACCCTTCTACACAGCACATCTAACCTGGGAAGTGCACTCCCTTAGAGAACATCTTGGGGGAACATTGATGAGGAAGGCAGGGAGGGAAGCTGTTTGCGAAGGAGCTGCGTGGGCAGAGCAGGATGCAGCAGCAAGGAGGAAGGAAGGAGACTAGGCAGCACAGAAGACTAGAGCAAAGCCCTCCCATCACCTTTAATATCTCGCTTCATCTCCAGGCAGGGGACAAGCACAGAGGAAAGCAGCTGAAGGCAAAAGGCAGCCAAGAGTTGTAAATTTGTGGATGCCTTTGTTGGCAAAGCTATGAGTGTTTCATTTTGGGTTGGGTGGGACCATTTAAGGACCTGTGACTTTATTCCTAGGAATAGCAAAATAGGCTCACCAGAAGATGTTCTATATTTGCGTGAGCTCAATGGAGGAACGCAGACCACTGTCACTTGCTTAAAGAAGTAGATACTATTTTAATTATTATTTTCCTGCCATAGCCATTTAGCCATCCAGAAGCACTGAAGAAAATTAAAGGGCCTTGTGGTTGTAGATGACCTTCTCTAATTCTGAAGGACAATGCTTGTTGAGGAAGTTTTACTTACCATTTTTCAAATAGCTTAGTATATCAGTACTATATTTGTTGTTAGGGATCTCATGAGATTTTCAGACCTGCTCCTGCAAGATATCTGGCTCCAACAGTGCTCTGGATCCAAATACCTTGCAAATTTAAATGTTTCAATTAAGATCTAACTGAAGCTAGATGTGACATGTATCTTAATGTCTTCATTCTCACTAAAGCCATTTAGTCTTTCATCATCCCAAAGGGATGCTAGCTAGCTGCTGGCTGCTCCATGGTACACTGAGGATGAACTAAGGGCTTGTTTCTAGAAGCAGAGTAGATAGCTTTGAATACCCTGGCAGATGAGATAACAGGAGTGGAATTAAGTAAACTTGAGGCCTTGCTTCATGAGAAGGGAGACCTCAAGTACCTCAGTATTGACAGAAAGACTCAGTTTAATTTCAGAGCTTAATGATAACACTCCTATCACATCTGCCTTCTGTAAGACATCCCCTTCCTTCCACACTGTAACTGGTACTGGAGATGTGAGACTTGATCCTCATACTTAGACCTGAAAAATTGATTGTTATCAGGTGAATGTATAAAAAGTAAGCATTTCATCCAAGCTGGCTGCAACTAGTTCTTTGTATGGTTAGGTTAAACTCTTTTGCATTGTTGGTGGTGAAATGATTCACCACTGTAAAATTTTGTAGGTGGTGGCTGTTCAGACAGGATGCATTGTAGGCGTTAGAAAGAGGACAGGAAGAGCTGTTCTCTGCACAGGCCATCTGCAGGTCACAGAAGGTTACATTTTTAGTAAAGGACAGAAATGAAAGGCCAGATTCTGTATACTTCCTTGCTCCATCAGTGGTAATGCTGCATCCATGTCTCTGGCCTTCCTTGCCCATGTGATTGAGCAAAATTCTCTTTTAACATACTGAATTTGAAATGTAGGTTTTAACACTGTAGATGCCAGATGCTTTCTTCTCTAATTCTTACTCTGATGGAACTGGGAATTTTTCATGTGGGGCATGTGCTGTATGGCATAAGTTATGAGGAATGTAATTCTTCTCTGACAAATATCTTCCACTTACTCAAGCAAACTGTAAGTCAAAAACTAAGAAAGGGCTTGTGTCATCTGGTGGTCATGGGGCTGGCAGGAGCTAGAGGGTATTGCAGTCTTAAGAAATAAGATTTCAGTGCAGTTTTTTTCCTTTCCAGGGGTGGAATGGTTCAGACCAGCGAGCAGTATGAATTTGTGCACCATGCACTGAGTCTGTATGAAAGAAGACTTTCTGCAGAAGCTGTCCAGTGAAGCTGAGGAGGGTAAAACCAAATGTCAGTCTCTTGAGGTAATTTATTTCATTACCTACCAGCAGCTTCTTCAAGGCGTTTACTGCAGTAGGAAAGACGGCTTTGAGGCCAGCTTCTGAAAAGATTGTGGACGGTTTGGCAAAAGTACAGAGATTGCTGGACCCTTACTATGTATGAATGTATTGTGAGCTTCCCAAAAATGATTTATAAAGAAGGTACTGTACTGAAACTACACATGGATTTTGTCTATGTATCTAAAGGTGGGTTTAATTCTGTAATGCTGATATCTGCCATATGGAATGTATGTATGTGCTCCTGCTACAGTCAGATGGACATTGGGACTTCTACAGAAGAAATATTTAACAAGTGTATAAAAGCTTTGACGTTTTGCAAACTGTCTTGTGAATGGACTGTCAACTGTACTGTAAAGTGCTATTACTGATTATGTGGTGAGCTTGTTCCTTGGCCACATAATATTCTTGCTGCTAAAATTGCAAGTGTTCAACTATGGATTTAAAAAAGGAGATAATAATTTTTTTTTTAATCTTGCTTTTGAAAATATTCAAAAGCAGTTAATATTTTATATGGAAATATATGTTCTTCATCCTATTAACTATTAAATGTGTACTTACTGTAGGTCTTACAGAGCAGTTGCAGAGCACAATGTCTGTTATTCAGTGTATATGTATTTACCCTAAACTGTTGATTGTCTTAGAACACGCTTCTGCTACAGACCTGAATCCAGTGTATTTGTAAATTGTGTAAGTCATTCTACTTTTAAAAGAAACTTTGTAGCATATATTAAATGGTAAGGATTTTAAATATTTGTCTGTCTTTTGTTAATACAGAAATTTTTGCATATGTTGTTTATCTGGTCTATTTCTTTCAGTAAGAGATAGATACCTTTAGTGATATGGACTCTTCCATGACAGGTTATACAAGAAAGAAAATGCTGCTATGACTGTTTCCTTTATTGCTCAGTAAAAGTTTGTTTTTAAGAGATACACGAAGTTGGCATTATGGCTTACAGCACTGGGAGATCTGTTTACAGGGTGTAATGATTTTTAATGCAGTGATGTTGACTTCGCTTCATACTGCTAATAAACAACCCTAAATATAAAATATTAACTGAAGTGTCTGTTCTTGCCTAGAGTAATTAATGCACATACACTCTTGTACCCCTATAAACAGGCTCAGCCCAGCACAATTTGGTCAGCCTGCACCATGGCTTCTGACCACTTGGGAACCAATCCAGAGGGCACAGGCAATCCCCAGCTGACATGGAGCAAGGTGTACCACCTGATGGGAAGGCAAACCCAGCATCACTTGATTCCTCAGGGGGAGTTTCTGTAAGACTTGCTACAGATGGCAGAGCTTTGCCTCCTCCTCTTTCCCTTCCTCCCCACCCTCCACTTGGCTTTTAGAACTTGTGGAGTTAGAAATATACTGAGATTTTGCTTGATTGTGTAGAGTTACAAAAAATACATGTTTTTCCCTGAATAATATAGAATATACTTAGTCAGCACCTGTAGATTTGTAATAGTTCACATGCAACAAATAACACAAAAGTATGATCCCCTTTCTTTTAGTCTAAAGAAATTCAACAAAATCTCTTTTAATTTCCCAGGTGTTTGAAAACTTCTCTTTTGCTTGTATTTTTCCAAAATAAACCAACTAGTAAAGTGAAGAATCATATTAAAAGGACAAAGTACTGTAAAACCCCCCTAAACAATTGAATAGAAGGAAGTGCTCGTCACTGACTTTTTCCCCCGTGAAGGCACATTTCCTTCCTAGCCTTCGCTTCACTTATCTGAGGTGGGTTTTTTTAAGAGAAGCATGGGGAGTTGTTAGAGGGAAAATGGATTCTTTATTTCACGTCCTGGTTTCTACCTGTCTTGCCTTGGCATTCTCAGGTAAGTGTCTCTCCCCACTTCCCCTCTGCCAAATTGCTCTTTCTGCCACTGAGCAGAGCCCTCCGGCACAGCCAGTGACTTACAGAAACCAAGTCACCTCTACTCTGGGCTTCGTACCAGAGGAATGAGGGGCAGGGCCAACACAGCCCATTCTGTTTAGATTCCTTTCCAAAGGAAAATAAACTGTCTTCTTCTATGCTGGAGATACATCTTCTTTTTTTAAGATCTCCTGATAGACAATCCAGGAGCTGAGTTTTTGGGATAAATGCTTCAGACAGGAGATTCCTATCTTTTATTCATACTTCATTAAATTTCAGATACAAGAACTTTCTGTAATGCTTAGCTAGAAAATTACCAGGTCTGTAAAAACAGGGGAATGACAACATCAATTGAGGGAAATAAATGCACATTTGGTTTAGCACTTTGTAACTAATGGGGCTGGAAATGTCTGAGTAACTGCGACTAAAAACAACGAACAACCTAAACACAATATGGCAAGGAGGCTGCATTTGAAATAACCAATTCTGCATTCTGTTACAAGTATGTGTTTTGCATTGGTAGCTTTGTGGGGTTTTGATTAATGCTCTGTAATTTTCTTCATTTGAGTAGCTGGTGTTGATCTTTAAGTGTGGTGACACAGAGAGCTAATCTTACGTGAATTGGAATCGTCACAAAGCTAACAGCTATAGAGACATTGGAATAAATCCAGTAAAACAGATGTGCTTCCTATCAGTAAAGAACCCCCATTCCTGTAACACAGACATTGAGAGACACATAGATCTGTGAATATCCTCCTATATGTTTCCCTTAGAAACATTATGAACTTTACTAAAACAACTTTTAGGCAGGAAATTATATTTTTAAAAGTCTGTGTTGTAAAACTGAAACAGAGACTGAGAATGCATGTAGATCTGTTTGCTTTCCAGCAGGGGAAATGAGGAACTGATGTTTGAAGTTAATAATTCTTGGACTTCTTTTATATCCAGTTTAATTTTTTCTTATTTTTATATATAATGCATGTCAAGAGAACCTTGCCACAATAGCTTGGGGTTTTGCATTTTTCTTATTTACATTACCAGCACATGCATCACATAAGTGTTGTGTTTGGAAGGTTTTTTAAAATAGGTTCAACTTATGGGAAATTTCATTAAATGTTCAACACACAGAAAATGGGAAGAAAGATTTATTTGCTCAGTTATTTTAAATCATTGAGAATTTGCTTTTTGTCAAGTAAAAGTGTAAATCAATCATATTTTTCTGGAATTTTCTTTTTCCAGAAGGGTTTCTGATTATCCATGTCCAGAAACAGCAGTGTCTTTCAGAAAAGAGAGGAGTCATTATGGAAAAGTGCAATATGACCAGCCTGAATCAGAAGTGGCAGTGGATGGCAGATGACAGGCTCCTCCATGTGAAGTCTGCCCAGTGCCTGAGCATCTCTACACGCCCTGCTCTGTCATCTCGCAGTGTCATCATTGATTGTCCCCAGGCAGTCAGGTGGAATTGCCACGAGGATGGGCTCCTGAAGGTGGCCAACAGCTCCCTTTTCCTCACAAAACAAGGTCAGAAGGTAATGGCCAAGCGGAGTAAAAAATACCTTCATACGTGGATGCAGCTAAAAGCCAGCGAGACAGGAAAACCTGTTTATGTAAATCTGTGCTCAAAGCAAGGTGAGTTTTTCCTTCAAGAAAATATCCTGGGAGTTTTGGTAACAAAAATGTCTGTTATGCTAACTCAAATGTGAAAAATTATGATATTTTATTCATACAGAAGAATGTTTTTCACAGTTGAAAAACATTTTGAGAACTATTAAAGAACAGCTGAGACTAGTGCTGTCTTTCTCACAACTGTTGTTTTTAATCCACTTTATATTTTTAGGATGTCTCTCCTTTTGTCTACTCCCAATCTTTGGATCAATGTGCTTATATATGTAACCTCAGGTCACTAACATTGTGTCATTTCCTTTTTCCATTTCTAAACTATGGGTGCTGATTCCTAGTACTTTTCAAAAATGTGGATGCAAAGAAGTTCTCCTCCCCATTCATTTTATCATACAAATCCAGATTCAATCTGTCAAGGGCAAGAAGACATCTGAAAATCCAACACATGCACAATTATTTCTCTGATTAACCTAAATGCATAATTCGAACAGTCATGGCTAGCACATTTGCATGTTTATTCAGTGTAATTTTGCTCTTAGATGCCATATATATGAGAACACTCAAAATCTTGAGATTAATGAGTTGAACAAAAAGTCTCAGAAATTCTTGGAATAGTACCTTGAAATGCAAAGGTCTGTGCACATATCTACAGACATGTAGCAGTATATCTGTGTAGTTGTGGGTTACTATATCCATGGCAAAATGGAAGGTACAGTGGTTTGAATATTGCTTGATAATGCTTTCTTCAATGTCCCATTGTCAATCCTTCCTGGCAAACTTGTTAATACTGTTCTTGTGCACTACTAAGTAATTCTTCATAGTAAATAAGAACAACCTACAGGCATCTTTTTACTGTCAATTCTTGTCTTTACAGGGTTAAAAATCAGTTTTGTGACTTAAAACTGTTGCATATGTTCAAGTTTTAAGAATGTTTAAACCAAATCCTCATCCTTTCTGAACTCCTAGTTATTGTAAGGCAGAGTATAATTTTTTTCAGCAAATTTGCACTTGAAGAACTCTATTCATAGGACCAGGACTACTCATCTGAGTGGATGTATGAAAGGATAGCTTGCAGAATCGGGAAATGAAAAAGTGTCCATGATGCCATCCCAGCCCTCCCATATATGTTAGAAATTAAACAGGCAAAATCATTTTAAGTCCCTGGGGGTGTGTATGGCTTGCATATTCAAAGACACTAGGAACAGTTCAGATGAGGTGCACAGGTAGTGTGCTGGATGGAGTGTGGCCTAACCAAGTTAAAGTAACCTTACACACTTTTCTTAATCATCCTAAGAGAAGAAGCAATTTAAGACCAATAAGCACTAAGACAATTGTCATGGCATATTAAAGCACCTTCTCATCTGTTTACTGTTCTCAGTTCTTAAATTAATTTACCTTGATTTTCCTGAAATTCTCTCCATATTCAGGCCTGCAAATCCTTTCTAAGAGTGTTACTTGCCTTATTTTTGACAGGTCTGGGAAGTTCTGCTGAAAAATCAACAAAACACTATAATCCTCAATACCTAACTAAGAATTTTAGGAATATAGGAATATAAAGTGGAAGCAGTGCAAAGAGATTAATTTTTCAAATAGTAGTAAGTACTATGAGAGCAATATCTAATACCCCCAATTCTGATCATAGCATCCATATGCATGTCAAAATCTTCAATGCTAAATGTGTAACGTTAGTCTTCCAAGAACATCTATCTGCTTTCAATACAAGTAGAAGTGGATCTGCCTAAAATAACATATTTGGTCTATATTTATCTAGTATAGAAAAAAATGAACAAAATCTTTGGAGTTTTTCTACTCCTGACTAAGACCACATTTTGTTATAATTTACCCTCTATTTTCACAGTACTCATAAAAAGAGTTTTATTTTGGCATAGGACTAGCTTACTGAATTGCATCTCAAACATCACCCAGATAGAGTACAAGCTCCAAACCCAATAGCTGCAAGTACCTTTTATTCTGGACCTTACTCAAATATCAAACATTATTTTTCTGAGCCTGGGGAAAGTCTGAGCTTGGATTTGGATTTCAAATCAGCCATCTGAGATGTGTTTGGATTTACATGTTTTGTAACAGTCCTGATCTAAATGACTGTTTGTGGAAACCAGGATCAATTTGGGAATGTAGCCCATCTCTGCTCACTCAGAGGTAATTCCAAATCTAGCAGGAAACAGTCCTTCTCACACAAAATCAAGTTTGAATCACTCTCTAATTGAAACAGCTAAAATGAAGAATGGTCATAAAGCAACAGAGAAAGTGAGACTTCATTTCCCACCAAATTCATGAAGACATTCTGGGCAGAGAGAGAAAAATCTCTGTAATGCTAAAGCCTGCTTTTCACCAGCCCACTGTTGGGTTCAGAGCTTCTAAGCTCAGAAACCAGGAATAGAAACAGGCAAGAGGAAAAGATGGGGCAGGTGAAGAGATAGAGTCAGGATGACTGAAAAGAACAAAGAATGTTGCATGTAAATAACACTTGTGGAACAAATACCCACCATTAATGCTGACAGACTAACACTGATGTCACTCCTAAAGTGCATAAGCAATTCTTACAAGCTTTTGTTCTGGGTAGGTTAATTTCAATAAAATATCCAACTAAGAACAGATGCAATGCTATGTGGCACCTTGAATATTACCAGCAAACCTCAAAACCACTGCTGGGCAAAGATTATTCACTAAGTAGGGAATTACTTCAAATGAGTAGACACAAGGCCAAGCTGTATGCTGCAGCTATGCACTGAGCTCTAGAGACTGTCACACAGGCTGTAGAGCAGTCTGGATACAGCAGGTGACACTACCTGTTTTGTAATATGATGTTCTTCATTGCATTTCTCTTATATCATATCATACATGGTAGGGACAAGCCAGATCCATGGATACCAAGACATTCAAAAAGAGTAGCTGATTTTATGGAGGGTGTACTTACAGTTGTGTGCCAAGCACTGAAGAACCATAGTGGGATCTACAAAGATACAAAACATGTTGAACAAGGAATTTGAATAACAACTAGAACATCTTTCTATCTCTTGTTTGTTTCCAGCCTGAAATAGACAAAATACCAGATACCAGGTATGAGCTGAAGTCTGATGTGCCATCTGACGTTTATGCTGTTCCTTCCTAGCCTTGGTTCTTGTCTGGGGTCATTTCTCTCACATAAGCTTCTCTTTTCCCCTTATCCCCCTTTCAGTTTAGCTGCTTCATAATCAGAACTTCAGCTAAGTTCACATCCCACTGCTGATGCTTCAGTGGCTGAGATGGAGCACAGAAGAGACCAGAGCAGTGCACACTCCAAGCATGCTCTGAACCACTGGAGCAGCAGTAGCAACTGCAGAACATAGGGAGGGAAGACAAATGCATCTTCTTGGGACTCTGGGGAAGGTGGAAAAGCACAGGAAAAAGGTGGCAGAAGCACAGAAAAGGCAGAAACTCTTACTTATTTTTGAAATAATGTAAATTAAGTATCTTTAGGCTTTAAGCTTTCTACACCTTTAGTGTTTGTAGATGCTGCAATAATGATACATAAGTTCACTACCGGTTGTAGCTTTTTGTGCGTATAATTTTTACTAATTTCTTCAGCATAAATTAGAACAGTGAGAAACAATATTTTCTTTCTACCCTTAAGTTGACCCAAAATATTTTTCCAAAAATACATCCACTGAAATTAATTTTAATCTCCTCAAGTTACTTTAAAGGGTGTTGTAAGTTTAAGAGTTTGCTAACATTTATGTGAACCCATGAAATATCAAAAATTTCTTGAGTTTTCTTTCTTTGGCTGAAGAAATACATGGCTGAACACTTTTGCTGAGCTCCACCTTGACAAAGAGAGGCATCAATGTCAGATCCTTGGACATAATTACAAGACCTTGTACAAAATCCAATAGCATACTGATCGAAGCTCAACGATAAATGTGGGTTTAGGTTTTCTAAAAAGAAAGGGAAAAATCTGAAGTGTAGCCTAGGTCTTTGGGTTTTGTAAATTTTCAAAGTCTTAATGAGTCACAGCACAAAGAATATAGAACAAAACCAGCTCAGCTACCTTCATAGGGAAAAAAATGGAACAATATGCACAGCTTCCCAGAGCAATCAGGCATGTCCTGCTTTATGACTTCATCTTCTGCTAGTGCTAACAAAGATAACAATTCCAAACAATTATACTGGTGTTTTTCATTATTATATTCTCCCCCTTTATTTTGTGTGGACCTTCATGTAGAAGCTGGAGTGGGTTTGAACTTCCATGTGTCTAAATGTAGGTATCTGAAGTGATTCTTTCACTTATCTCAACAAAGTGCTTTTTGTCATTTAAGATGCTCCACAATATTCCACCTGATCTCTGGCTGCCAGCCCAGAAAGACATAGGTCTCCTGTATGTGTTATGACAGCCTGAGCAGACGCTTCAGATGCCCTAGGGCAGTTCAGAGTCCACTAGGTTTAGGCAACTGAACCAAGACCTAGGTACTGATGTTTGTTTTATGTTGGGCCTTTCTGGGGGTCTCCCCAAATGGCGGGGGAAACCTCCTGTAATAGTTCTGTGCCAGGAAGAAGGAGACTCATGGGACTTCTTCAGTCTTCAGCTTCTTGTTTATTGTTATCTTATCTAAAGTTTTGCAAGCTGTCCACTACAGGCTCAGCACGCTAGAATAGCACCTCAAAATGGCCCTGAAATGTACAGTTTCAAGGTCTTTTAAAGTGGTTTTATCCAATTAACTCTTAAAAGGTAAATTATTTCTTATCTACCAATAATTCATTCCTTGACTGTCCATGTAACCTCTACACTGTGCTTTCCTTGACCAATCACCCTGTGCCACCAACACTGCAGAAAATGGAGTAGTAGAAGAAGACAGGGACTACACCCAAATTCCCCCATCTTGCTTCCTATCTACACCATACTAAAAATCCCAAAACCTAAATTTCTCACACAAGTGATATGCTATACTACTCTCTATTACCCATTTCACACTTTTGTAGACTCTAGTCTATCTCAAAGTCTTGGGAAGTTCTCTCTATGGGCAAAGGATAAAGACAGTATTTCTCTGGGGGTCAGAACCCCTCAAAGCAGACAGAGAAATATTCCCTGTGCCCTGGATGCCCACACCTAGGTGTCTCTGTAATTCCTGAGTATCTGAGCTCTCTTCAGTAGATCTATAGAGTTAGTGGAATCCAGATGCCCCTTACAGTGACCAAAAATTCACTTCAGGGTGTGCTGGAACTACCCACAGAGTCAGAAATAGGGCTGGTACACCAATGATGTTATCATCATAGTTATATAGATGTTCTGCTAAAACTGATGCTGAAATAACCTTTCAGTGGCTACTTCAGCATTTCAAAAACAAGCAAGTATAAGAGCAATTCAGGATTAGACTGGAGTTTGGAGACATTCGACTTCTCTGACATAAGATATAAATTATTCTAACTTCTACAACATTCAAATAAAGAAAGAAAACATTTTCAAGCAGCACCGATTTTGCAGGTTTTAAAAGTCACGTTGAAGGGAAAAGAAAGGACATTCAGAGGATTTTGTTTCTCTGTCATACTTCAACATACAACAGGAATCTGAATTATGTTTTTTTTATTTACAAGTAGTTAGGTAAAAGAAATTCATTTTGTCCTGCACATTAAGAGATCTTAAAGCAACCCCTTCTTGTTTAAAGTCTTGCAGAGAATTAGATGCAGTTTTATGGAGTATTTTGTATCTTACACACTAAATATCTGATTCAATTATGTTTCACTAGCAGTTCAGCCTTAGTTTTCTGAAGCTGTGCTCTAATAGGGTAGGCAGATCAGTACAATGTGAACTATTTCAGAAAGCTGCACTGTGCCAGCTCTGCTAAGGCTGAAAGCACCACTGTAGGGTTCTCAGTTCTTGACAACTAACCAGAACTTTTGGTATTCATACATGCAAAAGTCTGGAAGTCCCTTCCTTGTAAGCTGTCTGCTGCTGTGCAGATGGATGTGGTTTGCAGTACACTCTGTGGATGAAATATGCACTTAGAACATCATCATTTCTCCTGGGTGCGCTACTGATTATTACAATATTATGTTCACACACTGTGTATCATGCAGCCACTAGTGATCAACATCAGTGTCTGTGCTGCTGTCCTGTTCCCAAGAACAGTTTTATGACTGATTTCCAAAGAGGCTGCTGGAACAATGCTAAACACATCTGAAAAATACCACTGTTGAGATTTCTGTGTACTTCACAAATGTCCAGATAAGAGGTGAGTTTTTTCTGGTTAAAAAAATTTGGAACTCAAGTTGTGTAGAAAACTGCTACATGGGCCTTATAATATGCAGTTTTCTTTTTTAAGTGCCTGCTACTGAAGAAGGGCTATGAGGGTCCTTATGCTAGGATCACAATAGTGGCTTTACTTTGAAGATAAACATGGATTCTGACTTTCTTAAAATGGGTAACAGATATGAACCCCATTAGTCAGTCCACTGTAGGATATATAGAAAACACTAGTACATATATCTAAGTTCCACTATGGCATAGTTCTGCACACAAGTCACTTCTATCCACAGGTTACAGGCAACAGATTGTAACCAGTATTTTCTGGGAAAGATCTTTTAGCTGGAAAGCCAGAATAGCCTGAAGCTTATTAACATGAAAGGTTGGGTGATGCAGTGACCAAATCCTTGTTCATGGAACCTTTGTGGGATGGTGGAACTTTTCTGAGGACCAAGTGTTTTGCTTCCAGGACTGTTGAGCTCCCTCCTCAGCTCCTGCACCAAGAATGCCAGTTATTCCCTGGCTGCTGAATTGCACAAATGTCACTGGCAGCACGAGCGTTCTTTTTATGGAGGAGCAGCTTTCCTAAAGCACAATTGCACTGGTATGCAAATGCCTTCCTGCTGGAATCACTGCTATTTTTCTGTAAATTAAGCTAAGATTTTTTTTAGTGTGTTTTCATGTTGGGTGTGTAAATATATATTTAGAAGCCCAACTGTATGGCCTTTTTTCTAAGAGATTGCTGACTGCAGATATACCCGTTTTTTGTTTTCTGTCAGTAAGTTCTACTTCCTGCTGAAGTAGGAGAGAGATATCTCAGAGATATCTGAAAGGCATAGATCTCTTTCCAAGTCCTTGGGGCTAGGATTTCTAGTTGCCTACCATAGACTTTCAGAGACCATCAACAAATAGGAGATCTCCAGGAGCAATGACTGTCATGGAATCTCGACTGTCTGGACTTTTGTCAGCTAATGGGTTTGTTGCAGCAGCTGAGCACAAGGTTCCTGTCCTTCTGTTGGGAACCATGAAGGTATGTGACATGAGACCACAGCAGAGTCTGCACCTCAGGCTCTCTACAGGGAGTTTATGCAGAGGCAGCAGCATGAAGATGATTGTGCAGAATTGGACAAGACCTGAGGTTTTGATGAAACCATTTGCACAAGTGTGAGAGAAGAATTAGATCTGTAGTATTGCTTTCACTGCCTTGATTTGAAAAAATATTTAGTCAACTATTTTTGTAATTTAATGGAGACTTGGAATTTTTATTTCCAGAGAAGCACAATTAGATAAAAGGAAGGAAAATCTCTACTCTGGATACCAACCTATTCCAGTAAACCACTACTTTTCAAAAAGTTCCAGAACCATGTCCCAGGTGAATGCGCTGTGCTGTCAAGCACAGCAAACATTTGCATGGAAATGCCTCCTACTAGGATTTACAATCTCACTTTTTCTGTGCAAATCAAAGTGCTGCAATTTTTTTTACATAAACATGTTAACACATATATTTACACATATACAGAAAAAACTGATAATGTTGATTTTGTGGAAGCTCACCCACTGCTCCTTTGGGTAAGAAGTAATCACACATTGCTCAGCTACGACATCATAATTGCACACCAAGTAATTGCATTTGAAAGCTTCTGCTGCAATTTAACCCAGTCACTATTTTGTTTTTAAAGGATTTGTGGGCTAAAATTGTTATAAATGGCAACCAGCCCAGTGGCTCAGCAGCCAAACAAGGTTCTGTCATGCTGGAGATCCCAGTTCAAGGACAGACAAAGAATCTTGGGCATCGGGCCAATACACATTAGCTGTGTTACAGCAATGGCAGGGCAGCTTTTTGTGAGAAGGGGCCAGTGAGTAATTCCAATAGTTTAGCTGAAATGTGATGCTACCAGATGTAGAGGCCACCACAGCTTGAACCCTGCCCTCACTGCCACAAAGAAAGGATATTAAATACATACCAATGGGGAGGAAGAGCCATGAAAATGTGGAGGAAAAATGTGTAGTAAAATCTTTCCTGAGCTCTAATTGCAACTTTGGCTTTCTCTGAAGGATACGTGACTAAAAAAGCGAACCCATTGCCATATTTACAGATACTTCAGTTAAGTGACAGATCATTAGCTGAGCCTTGGGAAGGCAGCAGTCAGGGATTAGCATGGGGTCAGCATAGGACTGATTTTAGAGAGCAAGAGAAATGTTCATGTGGGCACAAGAAACTTAACTTGAGCACTTATGTTGAGACAAAAAAATATCTTGAAAAATTATACTGAACAAAGCCATGTTTTAAACTTACACCAAAAAAATGCAGATCTGAATCTGGCCAATGCACTTAGAAAGGAGGGGAGAGGGTCATAAAGCTGGTACTGTGTGCCATTTGATAAATACAAGCAAGTGAAAAAGTTGCAAATGAAAAAACTTGTGCCATTAATGACAAAGTACAACCTTTCTCTTCCCTTCAGAATCACTGAGAGACTACATGTAAAATTAATGGTATGGGAGTGTTTGGGGACATTATTTTTTTTTTGGTTGTGTTTTGTAGGTTTTGGTATTAATGCAAGAACACATTTGCACTGAAAACAAAAAATTTATAGAATTGACAGGTGCACTTCAACTACTTGGAAATTGTATCACCCACGTTTATTGAAGTTAATGAATTCTTTATAAAAATGTTGAGGTGAATTTAATCATATTCCTTTGTTTGTTTTAGATCTCCAAGATGCAGACACTTCTGTGCGGAGTACTATAACTACATCCCCCTCTTCAAATGCTGTAACTTCTAGGCCTGAAAATGTGTTGAAAAGTAGCACAGAGATGTTCATCAAAAATGTGACTGAACACTTCAGTAAAAATTCCGTCGAAAACCTCTACTTAGTCTTGAAATCTGCAGTAACAGAGAAAGCCTGGATTCCAACAACCACTCTTCAATACTCTAGCACTACAGAAGAGGTAGGACAGAACTACTGATTTTTACAAAGCCTGCTCCACTCTGTGGAGCCTGATAGCTATTACAAGTGGGCTTAAGAAAACAACAAACCAAATCTGAAAAAAATCAGTTAAAAGACTAAGCTTTGTTCTTTTTTTGGTGGGATGCTTTGCTTTGATGTTCATGCTGACAGTGTCCTTTGCTAGAAGCACAGCTGCAGAAAAATTCTGCTTCTTCTGTACAGCCCAATCCTGGTGCACATGTTGCACTGGGAGAAGTATTAGCAGGATATGTGAGAAGCAATGGAAAGTTCCTGGATGTGGCAGGACTCACAGGAGCCTGGGTATCTGCTCTCAGGGACTTAGGCTCTGGTATTATTTGTTGCATGATGTGATAGTTTAGCTTTAATTACATGCTAAGAATTACAGCATGCAATGACCTTATTTACAGATAATTATATACATTGTTTACAGATCAAAGCAAGAGAAATACAAATGTTTTAACTGGCCTCAAAAGGAACCCTAGACTTGGCCATGGTGAGCTTATTTACTGGCTCATAGGCAGAGTGGAAACACACAGACACTTGGTCTCTGCTCTAACTGTCCTGGCAGAGAAGGTGAATAAGGCTACCAGCCCCAGCTGTAGAAGGAGCACCTGGCAGGCCATTTGCTCCAAATCAATTTCCAGTCTTCCTTTTCTGCAAGACTCAGTTCAGTAATGTGAGAGCAAATCTGGAATCATGACTGGCAAAATGTGTACAGGCAGTTAGAACTAAAGCATGCAGGACATTATTGGTCCCTGTATCACTGTTATCACATAGTGGTTTAGAACTGAAAATCCCTAAATCCCCTGTGAGCTTATCTTGCAGAGGACCACGCTACACTCAATGTATTGGGGCAGGCAAATATGCTTCAGTAACTACTGTGTGTTGAAGTGGATAAGACTAAGAAATGTGTTTTATGTTTAGGAAGGCTGTGGATAGAATGTCAGAGTCCACAAAGGTGATGGTTTATGGACCCCAACACTGCTGTTCTGATGCTGATGAGGGCAAGGGACTGAGCCAAGGATGGCACACTGCACCCCATTCCACAACTGATGCAGATCTTTTTAAATGTGATCTTTCTGGCTCAGTGCATGCAGGCTGAGCTTGTTTCCTCATGGCCTCTGTTCATTTGCATACCTCCCCACAGAATACTTGTTCCTTCTAAATGGAAATGTCCTATAAAAAGAGGTATTCCCCAAACTGCCTCCAACACTACCACATAATCCTGCCAAAGCAAGACAAATGTCACCATTTTAACAGAAACTACTGCCATTTGTGTTTCTACCCCACTTCACCTCCTGAATAGCATCATCTGCACTGAACAAGCTGCTTAGGTCAAAACTTTCAAAACAGAATTGTGATGATAAGCTGTCTAAGCATATTTATGAAAAAAAAAATCAGTAATAACTTTCTCTTGTAGCTTCCAACTGGCTCTGGACATTTGAATCTAGATATACCAATTTAGACACACAAACTTAAAATCTTTGGCCTCCCTCTCTGTTTCCCAGTCTTTAGAATAGAATTAAAAACATTTTTTTTCAAATTTCAGGGATGTTTAAAGTATTAACTGGATTTAACACAATACTTTGAAAATACATAGACTAAGTGCTGAATATTGTTGTGAGGAAGACAATACCTCCTATGAACTCCATTTGCCCAGGCTGGGGCCTCTTGTTTGCAGAAGTAAAGCCATGTTGTTATTTGGCTGTGCACATACCCATTTTGGGGGGGACAATAGTGACATTTCAATTGAACAAAATGTTTGGTTTAGAGCTGCCATGGATTTCAAGTATAACTGCAGCTTGCACTTTGAATCCATGACAAAAGCTATGCAAAGCCCATTTCCTCTTGATTAGAGAGACAGAGAGGTTGGTGTTAAAAAAAAAAAAGTCAGGAAACCTTGGGAAAGTGTCTGAAAGGGACTTTGGAGCCTGCTATTAGAGACATGTCCGGTAACTCCCAAAACTCACTTCCAGTTCTTTTTTCAGTTTAATTAATTTCTTGGCTTGCCACACAGGTCAGTAAGTGTTAAAGGCTGTGTAACTGCTGACTTACTAAAAGCCCATTTATTCAATAACAGTCTGGAAATAATTACTTGCATTATGTTGACTATACTATATAAATACATTGCCCCCAGTGAATGCTGGACCCCTCATGTTTTATTCCAGTGTTGGCATAGACATCTGTGTCAGACCTTAACCATGTAGCAACTTTTGCAGGATAACATACAGAAGGAGGTCTCAAAACCTGTAATAAACCAGTACTTTCCTACTAATACAGAAAATTAAAGATTTTATGATAGCAAGAATAAGAGTAATAAAGCAGGAACTTCTGAATTATAAGCACTTCTAAGAAGCAGTAATATAATTTTCCAGCACAAATTATCTTATGCTAGCTAGGAGAGATAAACACGTATTTATTTCCAAAAATCTTAGTTTTCTTTGTGGTAGGTTCCACTTTTTGTCCTGAATTTTATGTTTGCGGTGTTGATTATGCTTCTCTTTCCTTTTACTTATTATATCTACTTAAACAACTTACTTCTAAATATCCAAATCATATCTTCCCTGGAAGTTCAGGTCATTGATATTTTAAAAAATACTTAGAATAATGTGAGCTACTTTTCAAGAAAAAGCAGATTACCCTGAATGTTTTAATCTTCAGAGAGGGTTTTGAAGTAATCCAAACATCCCAATAAGCCTTCAGATTTGCACTTTTCCAGTGGTGGAAAAGTATTGGTGTGGTTTATGCTGTTAAGCTCAAATCACTATCACCAAAAGAAGAAATCACACTGTAAAATTCTTACCTTAAATGATTACAAAACATCTATGTCATTTTAGTCCCAGTTTAGCTCTAAGAAACACACCTTGTGTTTCCTATCAATGGCATAATTATCTTTGAGGTTTGGTTCCTCCTTCTGTCTGAAGTATGTAAAGCATCTCTTCCTAAGGAGATTTTCTTCTGTGGCGTAATAACCAACACAGATTTTTATTGCCACTTAAGGTAATGATCATAAAGTTATTAACTACCCTCAGTTTTGCAAAGTACAGCACAACACTTTGAGTACCATGTCCCTAGGACCAAGCGTGGAGCTCCACTGGGACAGATTAAGTTTTCTGTAGGTGCAGGTAACACCCTTGAGCGCTCAGACTTTTGGTTTCATAACAGAAGGACAGCTAAGGTTTTACAGATATTTGCATCTTGTTTGACAGGCTAGTGCCCAGAAAAATCCTAGAGCAGCAGCTCCCCTAAAAGGCAGACTAAAGTTTGTAGAACCTAGAACCTTTTTCTCCCTCAAAGAAGGCAAAAGTGATACAGAGATGGTGTTGAATTTGGTTGAGGTACTGTTTTTAAAAGTTAAAACCCCACACGCATAATGCAGCAAAGAAAGTTGCAGAAAAATACCATTCCCTTTGAAGAAATTAAATGTCCATTTCTCTTTTGTGCACCCCCAAATTCACTCCATGGCTGCTATTGTGTATTTTAATATCTGAGGTGCAAAAATGCTTCTGTCTACACTTCTTCTCTGTCTCCCCATGTACACACTGACATGTGAGTTCTCAGAGGCTGAAATGTAAGCAAGAAGGAAATGGGTATGCATGACAGAAATGGAAAGTTTTCATTTTGGCAGTAGCCAACTTGTAGTTGCACACAGCTTTAGTGGTGCAGTCTGAAAACAGGGAGACTTTCTCACTTTCCATGGCATGTGTAATTTTAGCTTGGGAGTTATTCAGGGGATGTGGGAAGGAATAGTTTCAAGGACACAAGTTGAAACAGAAAACAGAGATGACTTGGCCGCTCACAGACAGACTGCTGCTGCAGGCAGGAGCTCAGCTGGGCTCTGCTGGACTCTCCTGGATGCAAGGCCTCTGGTTGCAGTGCCACATGGCCAGTGAGAGAATGGAGGCCTTGGTGGTCTGAAGTTAACCTTTAAAAACATCAGTTTGGGACACGGGAGCTGGACTGGTGGGTTACTGACAGCTGAGGCCAAGAGGAGGGTGGGCCGGGTGGTGGGACGGCTGTGAAGGGTGGCAGGTGCGAGGTGAATGGAGGCCATGGCATGAAGAAAGCGTGAGGCAAGGTGCTCAAGAGCAGTGGTAGGTAGGAGGAGAAAGAACCACAGGAGGCAAAGGGCCGTGAGGTAAGGCAGGCACGGTGGGAATGAGGCAAGACCAGCATGAGACAAGGCAGCCGCGAGGTTGAGGCAGAGGCAAGAAGACACTGCGAGGCGGTGCAGCCGTGAGCCAAGGCAAGGCAGCGCTAGGTGAGGCGCAGCCAGCAGACAAGAGCGCCGCCCCCAACAGCGGCACCGCCGAAGGGCCCCGTGCGCCGGGGGGAGCGCTGGGGAAGACGAGACACGGGGAAAACGACATGAGGAAGCAGCAGCGAGGAAGGAAAGGAGGTGGGGTGGGAGAGGAGCCGGGAGGAAGGTGGGATCCTTAAGGAGAGAGGGGCGGCACCCCGGGGCCGGTGGCCTGCCCGGTGGGCGGCAGGTCCCGAGCCGCCGAGCTTCGCCCCTGCAGCGGGACGCGAGGAAATCGCCTCTTGATTGCGGAAGTCGGCGGGAAGGGCTGCGGGAAAGTCAGCTCGGGTCAGAATGGCAGCGTGGGAAGCGGCGGCCGCCTCCCCCGCCTCCTCCGCTCCTCCTCAGCCGCGGGCGGGCAGCCCCCCCACCCCACGCCGGTGTCAGGGAGGCGGCTCGGCGGCCGGGCAGCCCCGAGCGCATGCAGCAGGCGGGCGGCCCGGCACAGGGCTCGCAGCCCGGCGGGGAGCGGGGGCCCCCGGGGCCCGCCGCCGCCACTTCGCTTCTTCGGATCCCCCCAGCGCCGCCGTGCCTTCCCCTTTTCCCCTCCCCGCGAGGGCTTTTGGCGTTAAAAACTGTCGGCGATGCTGAGCTATGGGGCAGGATTCGCCCTGTGGACCGCGCTGGCCCTGACCAAGGTGAGCGGCCGGGAGGAGGGGGGCGGTGTAGGGTCCCTCGCAGGTCGCAGGCGAGCCGGGGGGACACGGGCAGGTTCGCCCCGCAGCGGCACAGCGGGGACGGGCTGGGAGCGGAGCTCGGGGGCACTGGTGGGGCGCTCAGATCTCTCCCGCTCTCCGCAGGCCGCGCCGGAGCAGGCAGCGGGATGCAGCGCCAACCTGACGGAGCGGAGCGTCGCCGGGCAGAGCGTTCGGCTGCGCTGGGGCGCCGCGGGCCGCGCCTGCAACTTCAGCCTGAGCGGGCGCTCGGAGGACGGGGAGGCGGCCGGCTGCCAGCCCTTCCCCGCGGGCAACCGCACCTACGGCTGCACCCTGCGGGGGCTGGAGGCCGGGACCTGGTACCACCTGCGCATCCAGCCCCTCGCCGGCGGCGAGGCTCTCAACATCTCCCTGCAGACAGGTACGGGCGCGGCAGGTGCGCGGGGAGGGACGCCCGGCTTTTCTCTTTCTTCCCCTTGCTCCGGCCGGCTCCGAGAGGAGGAGGAGAGCGGTGCATTTACAGCTACTGAAAGTAGACACTGTTTGCTGAACATAGCAGCCCTGCGCTTGAGTTCTCTTTAGCCCGCTGCCAGAAGTAACTCCTACCGACAGTTGTCTCAGCAGGCTTGAAAAAAGAGGGGCTGTGAGGATATTAAGATAAAAAAAAAAGTTTTTTTGAGTAGTAGCCCATGATATCCTTTGTGCTCATGTAAATGCATTGTATTCATAGTTCCTCAGCTGGCAGTTTATTTACTGTGTTTAAAATACAATCTATTTCATAGCAGGTAAATCTTCTTTAAGGATAACTTACTGTTTCAGCCCATTTCCATACTTTTATTCTCTCTAACCAGAGTCTGAAAGTCGGAAAGTAAGGCTGAAACGTCACTCTTATATATTTTCCTTGGATATCACCAGTGAGGTGTTATGATACACAGTTGTGTACAGAGCACTTACAGTGACACATCCATGGCTGGCTGTAGGGAATGGTCCAGCAGCCTGACAGAGGACTGCCAAGGAAAGCCCCTTTCTGCATTCGTGTTTGTGTGGGCATGTGAACAATTCAGCTGTGAAGCAATGGACAACATTGAGTGACAACAGCTGCAGTGGTACAACTGGCCTCTTTCTACCTGTATTTGTGCTTTTTTGAAGATGATAAAATATAATACTGTTCAACCTCTTAATGATAGTAGTTCAAGACCCAAAACAAAGATATCTTAAATAAAGTCCATCATGAAATATCTCTCTGATTTGCTCCTAAGGTGTTAATTTTAGAGAGGTACTTAATATTAGTATTGAGGATTACAGCAGCCAAGTAATTCACAATTACCTGTTTAGAGATGTTGCTTTCTGTCAGAGCCTTTTTCCTGCATTAACCATACAAATGCACTAAATACTCTCCATTAATTTGCTGTGGTAACTCAAGTTTAAAAAAATCTATTGACAAGTCTGCTGGTGTCATATCTATACACTAAGTACAAGTCATGTCAATTAGTAAAAATTTTTGTGTGTCAGTTCTGAGTTCAGGTTTCATCAAGTTTCTTATACCACGTCCTTGAGTAATAGTTTCTGTGTAGACAGTGATTTAAATTTGTTGTGCATCATGCTGATTGTTTTTAATATTGATACTGATGACTTGTAATGTGAACATTGAAATAATAGATTAGCCGTTATTGGAGAGACAGGTATAAATCATCATCGTTTCTGTATAGTTCTATTATTGAACACATGCATAGAAGGTGAGAAGATACCACTTTAGAGCACATTTTGATTAATGCATAACCATTAACACAGAAGCTTTTACATACCATTTTTGACTTTTTTATCACTAAATAGATTTTTTTCAAGGCTATATGATTAAAGTGATTGAAAACAGCTGATCATTAGAGTCATATTATGAAGCTGACATCAATGTGAAAAGTCTGATTGAAGTTTAAGTTGAAATACTGATAATTGGTATACCATAGTTGAAGTGAGGTTTACATTTAGATTTTGGATAGCAGAGGTCAGTCAAAAGCACGAAATAAGAATAGAGGAGCCATGAATGTTTCCTGCAGAGAGCTACTCGGATTGCTCTGTGGTTCCTTGCTTTCCTTGAGTTGAACTGCTTGATGGTGTTCAAAATACACAATTAGCCCTAACATTTTTTTTAAAGAATTTTTCTACATTATGCCTGTGAACAACCAGTATTGTATTGTCTATTCTAAGCTTTTCAATGCAGAATGAGGGAGGATATTCCTCTTATGTTTCCACTAGGGGCAGCATTTTAAACCAATTTCATGCAAGCTCTTTTTCACCTGTTCCTTTGTAACTTGATGACAGTAGTTTTAGTTTACTATCTACTAAGGCTGAATGTCCATAGGCATGCATTCCTGGAAATTGTCCTGTGAATATGGAAGTATAAGCAGTCTTTCCAGCCATATTGTAAACAGAATTTCCACCAATTTCAATGGTATTGGAACTGAGTTATCATGGGCTATCTAAAACCATTAAGTCTGACCTTGGTCAGTGAGGCTCCCTTCCTATGGAAGATGGGCTAAGATGGTCATTGAAGGTGCTTTCTCCACTGGCTATCAGAGGAGACTAGGTTAGACCAGGAAGCTGAAGTGTAGTTGGTTGAAGTGAAAGGAATCCCATCTCATGTGTTTTATTTTTGCAAAACGATGTTTGAGTATCTGTATCATCTTGATGCAATAAATACACATGAGAAAGTGTGAGAAAGTTACAGGTTTGTTTATATACCTAGTTCAGAAACTAGCTTTTTGCTCATACTCAATCCTGTAAAAATTTTTGTGTGCCAGTTCTGAGTTTAGGTTTCATCAAGTTTCTTATACAAAGTACTTGAGTAGCTAAGCACTTAAAATCCAAAACATTTGGTTAAATTTTGAATGTGATCTTTTCTGACTAGGAACTCATGGTGAAAGCAAGGAATAATGCATGCCACAGTTGCAGTGGTAATGTAAAAGCTTGGAGAGGACCATATTAGCCTTTTGGGTATATAATGTCACGTTAAAATAATGATCTATTGTTTGCAAGTTTGATATTTCCAATAGAATAACTGTGCAGCTTGTGAAGATTCCATAAACTCTCAAGTAACACCAGATTCACCCTTGTGAATCTTTCATGGAGAAGCAGCTTCTATTTCACTCGTGGATACCTAGATCTAAAGTCTAATGATGTATGAAATAGTGGTACAAGAATCCAGACTAGTTCTCTAAACTCTCTTTACTCAAGAAGTTGTGATCTGTGGATTGTAAATTTAAAACAGCAAGTATTTTATCTAGTAGAGCAGAATTAAAATAGGTACTCAAAAATGGAAAATACTGTCACATATGCACTTCATAAGCCATGTATGCATAGACATGGAAACACACACAGTGGGGACATTTGTGCTATTTTGGTGGAATAGGAAAGGAAGAAATATATGATAACATCATTTATCAGCTTGGAGTTACAGAGAAATTCTCCACTGCAAAACTGAGATTACAGATGTTAGTAGGCACAAGAATGCATATTTGCTTCATATTAATATTTACAATTTTTTGGGGTTTTTCTAAGATACACACATATATAGATATAGATATACATATGTACATTAAACAGCACATAAAACCATACTAGTCAGCATGCTGCTGACATTGTAAAGCTGGGCTATGCACCTGTCAGTCATTTCGCGTTATATTCTTCATTTTCTCAGTAAAACTATTTTTGTTATTAAGAATTGATGTATGGCAAAAGAGGTAGGTTTTTGTCTTTCCCAGTTACAAGTAAGATACATTTTAAGTTCTCAAACCTCCAAATGTCTGTGCATTGCTATAACTATTTCAACGAATGACTATGTCTAGTTAAAAACAGTAGTATATTAATAGATCCTAAAATACAGTTAAATTTATGAATTTCAATTCAGAATTGAAATGCAGATTAGAGATGCTGGTCTAGAGAGCCATGGAAAACAATTTGGCAATTACCCCACTTTCAATTATATCTTCTAAAATAGACTTATAAATGCCATTTTCAAAATCTTTCTCTACAAACAAAAATATTGCAGTACTATGTTATGTTGCTACCCAATCCAAGCTCCTGTACTGAGAGAACTACAGGTAAATAATTTTTTGTTAGAAAATCCATTAAATATTTGAATGAAAAGAAGATAGAACTTCATCTTCCAAGACACAGACTGTTGGAGTGTTTTTTTATTCTAATATGTAACTCTCTAAATGGCAGAAGCATACCCAGGCTATGTGTTCACTCCTGTAAATTTTAAGTTATTTGGGACAAATTTGATTTATTAGCCATCTGTTGGAACAACACGTGACATGGCTCTAACTGTAGGCTGTATAAACCTATCATCCGTAATCATGTAATGGTTATGGTCATCATTTCAAAGACATAGTACAAGAAGAAAATAAATAACCGTATTTTAGAGATTCTCTAAGTTGCATATCATCCCAAAGAAATGCATATTTGTGTTTAGTAAAGACAATGAAATCAACCTCTTTACTTAATCTTCAGAAAAATCTTTATGAAGTAGGTTACTGTTTTATGAAGAGGGAAAGCTAGGAAAAATGGATAATATGGTAGGAAGGTAACTGAGACTGGCACATTATTAAGTCCTGGGCTCATATCTCCCAGTTGTTTTTGTTTTCTCCTGTATAAGGCAGGTGTGTTTCTGTGCTTACAGTTTGTATCTGGGAGTCATGTCAAACTGCAGTTTGACATAGCCATATCTATAAATTGGATCTGCAGCAGCTGTGCAGAGAAAGCATATCATCTTCCCCAAAAGTGAAAATAGAGTTGCAATAGAATTCAAAGATCATTAAGTCTCTGGAAGATGCCTTTGTAAACCAGGGGACATTAATTTGTATAGTGTCAAATGGTATAAAAATATCTTGATGAAAATATTTTATTTCTGTGATATATCGGTGTTGTATCATTGCCAACAGAGACTTGTATAACAATGTAAATGGTTTTTTAAGTGTTTGTTTCCATCCAGGGCTCTTTCAGCCCAGGCACTTCCCAGTCTCATTGTTCCTTTGTTCTAGCGGATGTAAAAAGCACTGAGTGTTTTGTTTTCTGGACCAGATAGATTAGATAAAGTCTGAATTTCTGAACTTCACCTTCTAGGCACGCAACTTTCTTCTTTGCTCATGCACCTTAGAAGACAGATTACCCAGGACAGTAAAAGCGCTTCTAAAAATGCAGCTATCTTTTTTTGTCAAATTTGGCAAATAATACAGATGACAATGGTGATTACTTTTACAGGACTAAAGAACAGTCGACTTTGTTCTAACTTAGTCAGAAAGAGGGTTAAACTTCTTGATAGTTATCATGACTGTTCTCTCAATGTCAGTCAAATAAAACTTTTTCAGCTGGCTGTGCATCTGACCATATATAGTGCTGGAATTTATTTCTGATTTCCAAAGTCTGACCTTTCAGATTAGAACAATTGCCTTCAAGGAACAAGATTATACCTCCACTATTCACTTTTGCCAAGATAATAGTCTTTAGTGGCTTAGTATATATTTTAGGTGGAGCTGGTAGTCAAGCCTATTGTTAAGATTTCCTGACACTTTTCATTAAAACCTCATGGTTCAGTTGCTGTAACTGGGTGAAGTTTTAACTATTTGGCCTGAAGTTTGATGTGCTTGGTCTTTTAATTGATTTTTAATAGTACTTTTTTTTTTTTTTCAGATTTTTTTTCATATTTAAGCAGACTTAGTTTGGCCTTTAAGAAAGCAGTCACGAAAATATAGTTTTATTGATTGATTATGTAAATCAATTTGTTTAATTTTCATTTCTTTTTCTGAAGAGCACTAACATCTTTGTAGTCCAAATAAAGAACTTGAATTTAAGCAGAGACATAGGTTCAAAGGGACACAGTATTTTTCAGAATACTGAAAGGTTGAGGTTGAAAGGGACCTCTGGAGGTCATCTGGTCCAAGCGCCTGGCTCAGGCAGGGCCACCTGGATCTGGTTGCCCAGGACCATCTCTAGTCAGTTTTTGAATGTTTCCAAGGAAGGAGTTGCTTCCTTGACATTCCTAATGTATTTGATTGACAAAGTATACCACCAAAACTTGGCACTACTCTGTTCTCAGCAGAGCTTTGTAGGAATTGATTAAGCCATCCAGAATTTGAAGAAAAAGCAGCATAAGGGCTCCTAAGACCCTCCTACTTATGTATTTGTATGTGGGGGGTAGGTTCAGCTTCATCCTTTCAGCCTTTACATTGCATATTTTAATTATGTGGTTGACACTTTTTCATCTTCTTTGTTCAGGGAACCAAGCAGCAATGACTGTATTGGAAAAATCTTATTCTTTTGTGTGCTGAGGTGCTGTTCCTACAGAGACCACAGTTCTCAGTCTGGATGCACTTTATACTCTTGGTCTAATGCTAGGAAAGAGTAGCATAGAGTGTACTCTGTGGTAGGCAAATTTATTCCTAAATTGTTGGTAAACTTTATGTCCCAACTTAGGAAGGCTTGATTGCACTGCTTTGGGTTATTTCATGATAACCTTCTTAATAAGGATTTTCTTAACCTTATTAGAAGACATAAATGTCAATACCTTAGTACATCTATATTTTGTGTGGTATGCATGAAGTCTTGTGAGTGATGAAATGCACCTGGAGTATAAAATCAACCAGATTCTATAGGTTTGGTCACTTTGCCTTTCCTTTAGAGTGTATCTTAATTTCACAGGTGATTTTACTGGAGAGCTTCTTAAAAAGCAACATAATGAGTGCTGAGAGTTTCAGAGAAGTAATCCCAATGTTGTTTCCTTAAGGTTTATCTAATGTACTGTTTGGATTTTTTAAAATTTTTATGAACAGAACAACAACAAAGCAGAAGCATATTCTATCAGAATTTGAAGTTGTTGAAGCTAATACTAAAGACAAAAGATCATTGCCCTTTAAATTGTATAAATGCTCATGCCCGTAACTAATAAAATGTTTAGGGTGAGTGCTAGTAAATGAAAGCTGTTGCTGCCATCTATAAAGCTACATTACACTGAAGCACTGGGTTTACATGTTTGCTGTTTCTTGTTAAAGTTGTTACAGTTTTATTATCAGCAAATTTCCAAGCTTGCAATATACACCCACAGTGGAAGTGTTTTGCTATATATATGTCTGTGTGTGTGAGTGTGTGCAAATACATAAAAGTAATATTTCTGAGTTCTTCCAGGCTCTCTTGTAGAATGGCTTCAATGCACAGTGTTTATAAATAAAAAGAAAAAACTTTTTGAAAAGTATTGGCAGCATGATGATAAAATGAGAGTTTTGGAAAATTTCTCGTGCTGCTGTGTAAAATTTCAGACGATCCCAAAGCAAGAAGTGGTTTATGTTTTCTGGGTTTTTTCCGAACTACAGATCCCTTGCCACCATCTCATTTGGAAATTAATAAGGAAAAAACTACACTCACAAGCTTGCATGTTCAATGGAATCCTTCCTCAGGAAAGGTGGACGTGTATAACCTAGTATTACTTGATCGTGATAATAAAAAGATACAAGAAGTCTCCATACCAGGAAGAATTTCAAAAACAGAAAATACATTTTCCAGTCTCATTCCTGGGAATAAGTACAACATTGTCCTCAGTGCTGTTGCTGGAAATAAGACTACACCAGAACTTCACATAAGTGGATCCACTGGTAAGACTTCTTTTCCTGTAGTTCATTTAAGTAAAACCACTTACAGTATTCTGTACTTCTGCATTGTGAAATTAGCAAATTGGTACAATTCTTCTATATTACTATATATATATAGATATATAGATATATATGAAGTATCTATTGATTATAAGTAGAAATTAAATATTAATCCCTTACTGACATAAAAAATTGTTTGCTAAGAATAGAGTCTCATTTTTATTGTGTATTTGGGATTGGGTTTTCAGTAACCCTAAAGAAACCCAGCATATTCCAAGAGTAATTCAAAATTGCAGAAATGAAGGAGATAACCATTAGGCCTTGAGCATATGTTCTTTTTATACCAACAGTGCCATCTCCTGTGAAAAATGTTCAGGTCAGTGTCAAGACAGACATTATCCATGTTTCGTGGTCTTCTGGCTCTGGACATGTGGAACGTTACAGGCTGCTGTTGCTGGATAATCATGTACCAGTTCACGAGATTCACCAGGAAGGTTCCCTGACCTCCTACACCTTTTCAGGACTTACAGCAGGCCATCTATATAACCTCTCTATCATAACCCAGGCTGCAGGATTGGAGAGCAGCAGTTTTCAGACAGTCAGGACAGGTATGATTTCAGAATTCATCACAACAAACAAGAAGATAAGACCACAATCTAATAGTATTATAGGACATATTTCAGAATAATAAGTTGTGTTCCAAGTTAGAGACACCATAAGCTTATTTAATTCCCTAAGTTACCACTGCAGCAAACTTAGAGGCTAAAATGAAAGTAGAAAAAGTGTGAAAGGGAAGTGGAAATAAATGTAAAGTAGCTTAAGAATTTTAAAATTAAATGGTGGTTTGGGTTGTTTCAGTTTTTGGTTGTTTTTTTTTTGTCTGTTTGGTTGGTTTGGTATGGGTTTTTGTGGATTTGTTGTTTTGTTTTGTTTTTTTTTTTCACGAAGAAATACTGATTCACAGAACTAGAGTTATAGAATTTTTTTTTTTTCAGGAATATTTTTTGGGCTGGAGTTCTGTGGTCATAGAGATAATGATAAGATGGCATCCTCCTAGGGTCCAATGGTTAAAACACTTATGTAGGGAAAAAAGGGGGTCATGCCTTCACTCCTTAACTTCTGGGAAGAGTAATATACAATTTCTTCTAGAGAAATCTTATAAAATGTGGTGGTTTTGCATGGGAGGCATTTAGGGAAGTGATTTAGGGAATGGAAGTAATTTAGGGAAGTGATGTGCACTGTGACTAGACTTCACTGTTCAGGCAAAATCAATCATACTCCATCTCATATAATTATTCAAAATCAAAATTTAACTATGGGAGTTTGGGAGGCAGCAAGTCTTGTATGTTTTGTGGTGGATGTATTTTATTCTCTTTCTAATTTTTTTTTTTAGCTCCACCTGAAGTCTTAGATTTGATGGTGACTAACGATGGCAGCTTAGATGCTTTAAAAGTTAGGTGGAGAAGACCTTCAGGAAACTTCAATTTCTATAATATCACTCTGTCTCATCTTGGATCAGTTAAAGAAGTCAAAACTTTGCAGCCACCAGTCACAGAGACGCAGTTTGACAAGCTAACTCCAGGACGTCTTTATGAGATTACTGCCCGCACCGTCAGTGGTGAACTGTTCACTGATCGGACGGCAACTGGCAGGACATGTAAGTCTTCTGCTTCAGTAAGAACATTGTAACTAATTTTTGCCTACACTGGCCTTGTAGCAAATCATTGTAAGAGACAAAGTTGTTTGGATTCCAGACAAAATGAGATTAAGAGCACAATACTGTTTCAGGAATACCCCCTGCTGACTCTCTGGCAACAGTTAATTTGACAGCCAAAAGCAGCTCCAGTTTATCTTGTGATCAGGCAACAGTCGTGAATTTCTTTTGGATCTTATAGTTGAATTAGTCTGTTACAGCGCTGTTCCATACTGCTGCACTTCTGACCAACTTTGTTGTCTTAAATTCAGCTCAGCATACTACATAAATTGAGTTACAGTATGGGGAAGTGTGCATGTAGTCAAATTATTAATAGTCTTTAAAGTAATTTTGCAAGGTCTAGTCTTATTCCTTCTTCCAGACACAAATCTGCAAACCAGAAAAGCTGACATCTCAGATTTCTTTACTATAAACAGCATGGATTAATAAAAGCATGTGGCAGCTGGGATAGAGCTATGAGTTTATCTTCTTTCAGAAGTGATAATGCCTTAGAGGTGTGCCATCTTTTCCACACCAGCCTAGCCTGAGCAAAAGTTAGATGGTAAAAAAATCTCTAACTTGGTGAAGAATGCATACATAAATTATTAGCAGACTCAGAACCAAATGGTAGAAAATGTTTGTGTAAGAGATCAGAGTATTTGTTTTAGAAAATATTTATTGTCTACAATTAAACATCTCTTGTGAAAGTCACATCCTTGACATACCTAGCTGATACCCCATTCTCAGTGCAGGCTGGAAGAGCCGTAGAAGTCTTTCATGTCCAGAAAGTACAAAACTGGGCTGGTTTACATACATGTCTGTTTTGTTTGTTTAGCCTACTATTAAAGTCCTTTAAGATTACCATTTCAATCTAAAGGGAGGACTTCAGGCCCTCACTCAACACCACCGATCCCCAGCTTTGTGACCTAGACCCAGTGCTTTTAAAGTTGGGGATTACAAGTCCTATTTCCAAGGATGCTAATCATAAGCAATTCCTTCCTTTACCACAGACATCAAGAGCTTTGAAAACATTCACTTCAGCAGAAGCTCTGTGGAGTAAAGATAAATTCATAAGTCCAGACTGTCAGGTCTACAGATGCTGAAGGGATTAGACTCTTAGGGTCCCTCTGTAACTCACAGAGAGAGCCAGGTGCCCAAGAACATAATGCACATTACTGTGTTTTGAGAGGGTGCAGCAGAACCAGCCAAGAAATGTTGTGGTAAGAAGTGTGGACATCTCAGAGACTGAAACTTCATGCCATTAAGTTGTAATGATGTCCAGTCAGCCTGACGAGGCTGATCTTTATTTGTTATGATGTAAGTTAATCTGTACTTCCTAACAATGCACTGTGTGCTTTTATCCACTCAGAAATTTAAACACATTTTCCATATTTACTGGCATATGGGGGTTCTAGGTCTGGTAGCCAGCTATGCCTCTGGGAAGTGAAACCGATGAGTATTTTATGGTGCTGGTAAAGAGGTTTCAATCCTCTGCTAGATACTGATCAATTAAGTATTAACTAAGCTAGATAAGAACATGATGCTATCCTTTAAGTTATCAGCTAATACTTGTGGATGTCTCAGGGCTCCAGTGCTGACCTCTTGAGTATCTACAATATGAATTACATGTATACTCTCCTAAGGGTCTGCATCTGTCTTCTAGTCTCTGCTTGGCCTGGCTAATATTAAATTATTCCATGAAAATCAGAAAAGCTTCAGTGGTCCAATGTGACCTGCAGGAGTAATGGGTTAGGGAGGAGAAGGTTAGGTATGTAAATTCAGGATCCTTGAAGTGCAGGACAGGATCAAGTGGATGCTTTAATGGACTCTGTCTTAAACTCAGTGCCTTTTACAGCTGGGAGGAATTAGGGCATACAAAGTCGAAGCTGTTTCTGTGAAAGAAGCCATTAGGTTTTGCATTTCTGCTGCTGATACCAGAATTGGGACTATGGAGACTGAAGTTTCAACCTTAGCAGTGAAAAATTGATAGACAGTTTCTAAGTGAGCTTAAGTGCAGGAAACAACAGGGAACCTGACTGAAAACTGCAAGATGCATCCAGGAAGTGTACAGGGGAGATTTTGCCTGCCCTTAGAGGGGTTGCCCATTTATGATGTCAGAAACCAGCAGGAAAATAAGTGAGTGGTTTGTGTGGGAAAGAGTAAAAATTGTCTTTAAAATGAAAGCCGACCTTTGCAACAAGATAGCTCACATTGCTCTAGCTGGTCCAAGCATCCAAGCACACGTACAATAGCTGTGCTGCGGGACAGGTTTTGCCAGTATATTTACATCTCACCAGAAATACCGCACTTCAGAACTGCTTTTTCACTTTGTCCAGTTCCCCAGAAAGTTTCGGAGCTGCAGGCGGGTGCTAGTGGCTGGGTGCGGTCTCTGCGAGTGACCTGGGTGCCCCCTGCGGGAGACTGGGAGAGGTACCACCTGCTCCTGTGGAACCGCTCAGCCCTGGTGCTCAACACCACCCTCGAGAAGGACACCACCGAGTACCTCATCCGTGATGCGGGCCTCATCCCAGGGAGGGAGTACGGCGTGGAAGTCATTGTGGAGAGCGGCGATTTGCAGAGCAAGACTAGTTGTGCGGGGAGAACAGGTATGCTTGCCTAGGTACTGTGAGAGTGCAAAGTGTTCAGCCCCGTGAACAGTGGAAGAGAACTTGAGAATCCACAAATTAATTTCACTATTAATACAGTAAAAAGGAGCTCCCTTTGTAAACTACAGAAATAATTTTAGCAGTTCTGTGAGAGCTTTCGGGATTACTTTAGTAGTAAATGTTTTGTTAGTGAAGGCTTTGGGAACTATATCATGATTCTGTCACAACTCAGGTGTTACATTACATGTTCATTTCACTGCTATATTTTGTAGCTGATTGTAGGGCACCCTGTTAAGGTCTTAAAGAAAGCACTATAGACTTTCCTGTATTGTTCATCAGTATGTTTCCTTGCCAGTCTGTGTAAAGAATATTAGCCATATGGCTAAGGTGTATCTTAGTATGGCTGCCCTTTAACATCCCAGTTCTTGTTTTTGTGCTCCATAAAGAAAATGGGTTAGTCTGTTCCAAGTCTGTTTCCAAAGGAAATCCATATATACTGCAGGGACCTGAGTGGAATTCTTTTGCAGTGTGTTAGTTAAAACCACATCTGATTTACTTCAAATTTTAAAAAATAATTCTCATATAATTGTTAGAATTTCTGCTCAGTGAATGCAGAATAAGTGCAATTCAGAGGAAAGGAAGACTTGGAGTAGGAATAACAGGCAATACTCAAGTCTACCTTGAGACAGGATAATGCCATTCTACTTTATCCTCACCCTTCCTGGGTCCTGCCTTTTCTACTATACCCTTCTCTGTCATTCCCTGAGGACTTAATTTTGTTAATTTTGCACAACAGCAAGACCAGTAGAATCTACAGAACTGAAGCTTTCTCTGACTTGTAGCAAACTTGATCAGAGCAAGATACATTCTCATCTTCCTTACTTTGACATATGTTGCAAGTAATCTAACTTTATGGTGTTACTTTTAATTGACTCAGCTAAGCGATTAATAGTTGAACCCAATTATTTTAGAGGTCTTTTCCAACCTAAGTGATTCTATGATTCTGTGATTAGAACATGGTCCATTTAATAATATTCAGCAGTGGGTGTATCATGACTGTGTTTGACCCACAGTGAGGTGAATAATGTGTCTGTTATGAAGTGTAGGTATTAGATCTCGTTGTGACTCAGTTTTCTCTTGCATTAACTCACCGACTTGGAAAATAAGTTGTATTTCAATGTGACAGGGACAAAATCAGATCAGGGACTATATTAGGCAAGACATCCTTGCTGGGTATGCAGGCACACACACACAAACACACAGAGAAATTCACTGATTGGATTCTTTCTTTTATGCCCCTGTAAGTTTGAAGTGTCTCTTAGCATGACTTAGGTATAAATCAATGCAAAATCAATGTCACTCTGATTCTAATTTGCATCCTTGTTTGTTAGAAGTGCATTGCTGTAGATCTGATTTATGGTACAAATGTCTTATATCCCTGTTCAGCACCCAGAGTTCAAGAGGAAGTTCACTGCCTTCCCTGCTTTCCATTTGCACTAAAATATATATCCTGATGTAAGTTTAAACCTAAGCATTACAGCCATAGTGCATTGCTAAAGTCTGCTGCTAATAGTCCTTTACTGGAAGAGGGGCACAAATACTAGGTTTGTAAGAATGACTTCTTAGAGAAAGGTAACAAATCTCTTCTTGATTTCAGATACTCTGTTGCTGTCACATTTATGTCTTACAGAATACATTTCTTACAACAGCTTGATAGGACGTGTGCTCACTACACAGTCCTGTTTTTGTTGTGATATCTGTGTGTTTTTCCAGCTCCAGAGCCTGTTCTCCAGCTCCGTGTGAAGCATGCTAATGAATCTTCACTTAGTGTCATGTGGATGACCCCTGCTGCAGAATGGGACAGCTATGTGGTTTCTCTGGAAGTCAGTGAGCTCCCTATTGTAAAAAAGGGACTTGCAAAAGAAGCTAAGGAATTTACTTTCACTGACTTGATACCTGGAAGGAAATATACAGCTACTATCACTACTATTAGTGGGACTTTAAGCAACTGGACTTCAGTAGAAGGAAGAACAGGTATCATCTTGTCAAACTGTTTTAATCTTTACTTCTGTCAACTTTTTTATTAACAATTTTTTTTTTGCTTTGTAGTGAACTTAATTAACTCAGTGTCTAAGTCTTGAAAGTCTTGATCTTAAGTTTGTTTCCTCAGTAAAAAAGTTATATGTCTGAATCTCATTTCTGACTGTCAGTTATCTTGCTGTATTTATTTAAGATTTTTGGGAAATAGATGTGTAATTCCTGGCAAAACAGTTTTCTGAAGTATTATGTCATATCTAATCAGTCTACATTAGCACAAGATTCCATATAAGAAGAATAATTTTCATTGTGTATTTTCAGGAGGGTCACTTCCTTGGTGCAAAGCATTCATCATCTGGGAAAAAGAGAAACATCACCACACAGGAAAATGTTACTTTAGGGGAAACATTTCAAGGTTAACAGGCACAAGGTCACATATGTGACCTGAAAGATGTGTTTTGAATCTTTTTGCTCTTCTGATTCCAGAATATGTGTTTGTTACTGAGGATGATGACTGTCAAAAGGAAGGTCCCATTCTTACCCCCTGCAGGCTGTGATTTGTGCACATGTGCAAGTTTTAAACCATACAGGTTGCTTTACTCTGTTTAAGTACTGACTTAAACATCTCCAGTGCAAGCAAAGTTTTCAAATGCAGCTCTGGCCTTGCACAGCACAGGGGAAAACAAGCTGCTTGTGTCTGAATCAAAGCATGCTTAGGGCTGATGTTGGTCCTTATTTAAATTTTGTAACTCCTTCCAAGACCTAAGAAGTTTAGCTTGTACTTTGATTTCCCTGTTATGTTTTTAGATAGCTGGAATTTCACTTCCATCTGACTTACACCCCTTTAGGGGACCTATTCAGGCATAAAGGTCCCATTTCACTAGTTTCACTTGAAAACATATTAGGCACTGTTTCTGTGTCAATATTACATTGAAATTGAGTTATAAAGAACAAACATTATTTAACTAGAACATAGGTTTTAATAAGTGTTCCAGACCTCTGAATCTTCCCTGAAGCAGGACAGCTTACTAAGCTTGAAAAATATTGCTGTAAACATGACAGAAGTAGGTCTTACTTCCATCCCAGACTGGTCAGCATCCAGTGAAACCTGCAAAGAGCACTGAAATGAGCATTTAGAACAGAAATGTGGCACTTTAGTGTCTTGTTTGAGCTAACTATGTTATGAGAACATTATAAAACAGGAAGGATTTCTGATCGAGTTTATTGTCAACTTTGTATTTTCTTCAGCTTTGTGCCTAACTTTAAAGCTTTTGTTAATGATTACTAAACCAGTACTATGTGTGCAAAAAGGCTGATAAAAAACAACAGAAGAGTGCATTCACATTTTATGAAGTTAGTCTTCTTTATTTCAGTTTGTACTTGGTCATGTAAACAGAAATCTTTAGAAGTAATTGTATTTCCTTGCTGTGACCAAATATTGTCAAACCAAATTTAAAAAGAGGATTTGGAGTAAACTTTGTGCTCCATATTGCATTCCTTTGTTATTTCTTTATCATTTTTGGTCTTGCTAAGTTCATGAGCTTATGCTTAGATAAATGTTATGTTTAACAATTCATCTTTTGATGCTATAAAAGTTGGTATCCTGCAGATGTTCTTACATAAAAAGTTAAACTATAACCATGCATCTCAGTTATCCCCAAAATTAAAGAGTCTGGCATAGTAGAGATTACTGTGCCTGAGGTATTCTTCAAACAAGTTTGCCATTTATTAGAAATTAAAGATTGGGAATGGGAGAGGAAAGGGAAAATTAAAGACACAGACTATATTTGAAGTAGTCATCAAAAACCCTGAATTATTTCCTTAATTGATGGCTTTTATTTGATGGTATTTATAAAATGCCATCTCTTTCAGTTCCCTCATCTTGAATCATTTTCATCTGACTGGGAAAAGTTGTGCTAAAGGCTGAAAGACCTTTCTGAGCCTTAGTTTCCCATAGACCACATCCCAGACAGGAAGCAGTCCCCAGTTAAAGTATTTTTAGTCCTGTTGAGTCTGGCTGCAAATTGGAATGTTCTTTTGATGCACTTCCTCAGTGTGACTAAACTTGTGTTCTTTGGGGGATTCTGTTTTGTTTAATTTTGTTTCTCCTCAGTAACAGTGTGACAATTTCCTTTTCAGTGCCAGCCCAAGTGACAGGTCTGACTGTGTCAAGTCAGGGATCAACCAACAGCTTGTTCACCAACTGGACAAGAGCACTGGGAGATGTAGACTCATACCAAGTGCTACTGATTCATGAGAATGTTGTCATTAAAAATGAAACTGTTCCCAGTGAAACTAACAGATATCACTTCTATCCCCTGAAACCTGGAGGACTCTATTCAGTTGTTGTCACCACTGTCAGTGGAGGGATATCTTCAAGGCAAACAATTGCAGAGGAAAGAACAGGTAAAAAGGAAAGCACTCCAGAATGCTTTTTAGTAGTTGAATTTATCTGAAAGAATGGTCTTGTGTTTAAGCCACTGCACTGAGAATTCAGAAAAATGAGAGTTTCGTCCATATAGCTCCATATGTGCACACTGTCTGTCCAGATTTGTGTAAATATAGCTTTAGAGAGCTAACTGCTCTAACTACAGTGGGAACTCTACAGCAGGATCACTCTAGAACAAAGACAAAAATATGCCCTGAGAGTAATGAATAACTGTCTGGGCAAATCACTCCTTGGAAGGGACTTTCTTGTTCCATTGGCTATGTAGTGGTGGTGTAGTGTGATTGCTCCTTACTTATGTGTGTCAAGAACCTGCCTAAAGGTAGTGGGGTGAATTTGTGTCTCAGCCTCTCACAACCCATTCTTTTTCTTTAATCCAGCATCAAAGAATGTCCACCAGGGCTAATTAGTTATTATGAGGTCCTTCTGTACTTCATAGAGGAAGATTTACTGTTACATCAAATTCTTTAGATTTAAAGAGTCATGAAATGTAATACTAGCTAAGTGGATATTTAAAGGAGAAATTTGGCGATATAGTGCAATTTCACCCATTATATGAATTTGGCAAGTGCCAGGCATTCTGCAGTTTTCTGCAATGTTCTCCTTGAAAACCACTATTTTCAAGGTGAAAAAGCAAAACAAACCTGGGGAAAAAAAAAAAAAAAAAGGAGAAGAATAATACTAAAAGGCTTAAAGTATATAAGTGTATTTTGTAAAATCGGGGGGGGGGCAGGTTTAATTCTGACAGCTGTTTACCAGCCTCTCTGTTGAGATAAATAAGTTTAGTGCAGCAGAGTCCAGTGAACATTTGGAAGTTCATTATGCCTAAGTTCTGCCCCTGTAACAACTGAGTTTTGTACCTGAGTGATGACAATTCTGGCAATGCAGAGCCTTTGAGTTCACCTTGCTGGCTTGAAAAACAAGAGGCATTCATGTTTTGTCCACTAGGCGTCAGAGAACCCGCTGGAAATGAAAGATGCAGCTGTGGGCCTCAGTCTCTTACCAGCCTCACCAGTTATTGTTGTTACTGGGAATGGCAATTTGAGAGGATAACTCAGCTTCTAGGATTTTAGAAGAGCTGGGATCAGGCCACCAAGGAAAATTTCCTTCACTGTATTTAAAAAAGCAGGTGAATGTTGCTGAGAGGCAGTCAGTGCAGAACTTCTCAGGAGTTGGAGGAGACTGCTTATTGCAGGGGATGGCATTATAGGGATACTCACAAAAATAAGAATTAGCTAGTTAATGCTTTTTTTGTTTTTTTCCTCTTTATTGCACAGTTCCTTCCAGTGTAACTGGAGTAACAGTAAATAACTCAGGTCGGAGTGACTACCTCAGTGTTTCTTGGCTGCCAGCTTCTGGAGATGTAGACAGTTATTTGGTAACACTCTCTCATGATGACAAGATTGTTCAGACTCTCACCATTTCCAAATCATTCAGTGAATGCTCCTTCAGCAGCCTTACTCCTGGGACGCTTTACGATGTGATGATAACCACAAAGAGTGGAAAGTATGAAAACTATTCCCTCAGCCAGGAACGAACAGGTAAAGAGTGGGTCTGGGCAAGTACAGTCACTGTAACCATTGTTGTGTTGGTAATGGCTAATGTATAACCATTACCAATGATTTATCAATATCTGACCAAACTGGGATGAAAGTAGAGGTTGGAGGATCAAACCATAAAATTACAGCTTTATTAGTTTTACTCTTATGCCCTTGTTGCTGCTTTATTTCATGCAAAAAATGCTTTAGCATGAATCAAAGTCATGTCAGTCCTTATGAGTGAACAGAAATTATGTATCAGTTTTGGCTCAAATGTATTGTCCTGCCCTTAATGCCTCTATGTGGCCCTTCAAGTGCATCCTGCAGAGCATCTCCTCAGAAAGTTACTCAGGCACTGAAAGAACAGAAAAGGATAGGTGTTAAAATGAGCTCATGGGCACTCTGTGCCCCCTTCCCCGGGACCCTGTGTCTCTGGTCAAGATAACCCTGGACCCCTCCTTCCTGCCCCAACGGGGTTGGCGGAGACCAGGGAAGCCCTCCCTGTCCAAAGTCTATATAGACCCCTGACATTTCCTGTTCACTCTCTTTTGGCCCGCTCTCCATATGGACACCACAGAATAAAGAGAGCTGAACCAACATATATCGGGGTAAGAGCCTCTTTTGGAAATCTTTGCCATCTCCTGATATTCCTGCCCTCAAAGCCTTGGATCTCTGGGCTAGCCTGATAATTCAGGGGGCTGAGGTGGGGGGGGAACATCAGATAGGCTAATTAGTAAAATATTGGTGAGGTGTCACAATGATGAGTAACACCCATGTCAGTTGGTTTTGGTAATGTAACACACATCTGTGGTTTTGGTCATGCAATTTTCAGGGATATTATAAGAGGAATGGAGAAATCTCAGAAAGGGATGGCAATAATGAGGAGAACCTTTTAAAACTTTCTCAAAACTGGCAAAAACTGAGACTTTACACTTGGTAAACCAGTAGAACAAAAGAAAGATTGTATGGGGTGTTAAAAAAGTAACAAAGAGTATCAAGTTAGTGCGGTTTTAGTCTTTTCATTATCTATGTGAAAATCCAAGGGACAGCCATGAAAGAACGAGAACCAAATTTTGGATCAGTGTTTGTCTGTGGCACTCACTACTCTTACCGAGCAAGTTCCAAAAATTAGAAAGGCAAACCATTGTATTGTCATAAGATGTAAAGCAGCCTGGAAACTGCAGATACTACTTTATTACTTAAATCCACACTGTTGTCTTTTTGCAACTTCCTCACGAAACTCTGGTAACTACCAGAAATACAGTTCTCTGCCACAACTCTGGTTACTTCAGGAAGTTTCTGCATCTTTTATTCTTTCAGTCCCTTCAAGTGTCCAGGGACTTACTGTCAGCAATTCAGCCAGAAGTGACTACTTGAAGGTGTCCTGGTTACATGCATCTGGATATTTTGATAATTATGAAGTGATCATCAGTAACAATAATGATTTCATCCAAACAAAAAGTGTCCCAAAGGATGAAAATGAATGTGTGTTCACCCGTCTGGTCCCTGGGAGGCAGTACAGTGTCACAGTCAGCACAAGGAGTGGGAAATATGAAACTAGTGAAAGAGTCTATGGCAGAACAAGTAAGTAAGCACCCTGGAAACATTCTAAGACAACCCAGGGTATTTTTTTTATTTATCATACCCAGGAACAAAAATCTCATATGATTTTTAATGTAGAATGTTGACTCTGACTCTTTGAATGTGTATTATTTAAAATAGAGAAAACAGTATTTCGTTTAAGACCACTGTTTAAGTTACAAACAAGCAAAAAGTGAGAGACCTGTGCTATTAAATTGGAAAGCAGATCTTGAAACACAGAAAGCCAAAGAAACAGTTGTGCAGTTTTCCACAGGAGTTTAGTATTTATCATTAAATTATGCCAGAATGTACTGAACAGTTTTTTTCTGGTCATGGAAATATATAGGACAGAAGATAGGCTAGACCTCCCTCTATTCACACTACCTCATGCACTGGAATTGGAGAGCATGGGGCAAGAGTGGTAAGGTGGCTAGTTGGGAACCAGCAGGGATCTGGGTGCAATTTTCACCTAGCACCGTATGTGAGTTAAGGACTCATGCTGAGAAACTCAGCAGTTTATTAACAAAGATGTAGCATGGGGCAAAAATAACTCACCTGTGTCTGGCACAAGTTGGAAACTGCATTGTGGTGCTACATCATGCAGCTGGATTGCCTTGATTTGACACTAGCTCAGGCCTCTTTTTTCTCTATTTGTTGTACATGCAGATCTTACTCAGTTTTTGTTGGCTAGATAAACTCCCTGCAGGCTCCATTATTATTTTGTTATTTTTATGCTGATAAATTGTGAACATCTGTTCTGAAATAGGACCTTCCAGTGTTATATTCAGGTGTAAACTACCCAAATAAGTGCTATCTACTGCTTTCTCAGGGGAACTGAATGAAAAATTGTAGCTCAGAAGCATGACTTAAGAGCTGCTAGCTTTTTGCTGTGATCTGTTAGTAAGTACTGAGAAGTTTCCCATCTTTCTTCTCACTTCTTCAGTGCCAGAGTCAGTAAAGGAACTGACTCTTAGTAACAGGAGCACAGAAGATCTGCAGGTAACTTGGTCAAAAGCTGAGGGGGATGTTGATAAGTATGAGATTCAGCTCCTCTTCAACGATATGAAGATCTTCCCACCCATTTTCCTTGGGAACACCATAGAGGAATATTGGTTCACAGCTCTGACTCCAGGACGTCTATACAAAATTCTTGTTTTGACCATCAGTGGAGATGCACAGCGGGCTACTTTCATAGAAGGCCTGACAAGTAAGATATAATGTGGTATTTAAAATGTGTTTAGGCTTTTCTAGAATGAACCACTGAAGATCAAGTGTGAGCTGTTATTATATTCAAGGCTTATGTAACAGTGGCTCAGAGACAGCAGATTTCATTGGAAATCACACTAGTACTTAGCCAACACCCATGCTTAATAAAAGTATTTACTAATACCTGATTTTTGGCAGAAAATCTGGTTTGTTGCATGGGAACTGTATTGAGATATCAGCATTTAGGTTTCTGTTATTCCCATGCATGCCAGTTGTTTGCTTAGTGTCTCTAGTTAAATCATTTACCTTTTTTACACCTCTGTTTACCTACCTGAAGTGAATGATTGAGTTATTAATGGAAAAATGGCTAACTAACTGAGGGTACCTAAAAAGCTTTCATATTTTGAGGTGTTTTTAGTGCATCATGTGGACAAGAGGGAGGTAATACATAGAATTGTGTTTCTAATAATCCCACACAAATGTTTACTTTACTTGTGTTTACCCACAAATGACATGACTAGTACCTGTAAATGATCTTTCTCTTTTGAATCATTTTTCTGTGGCCATAAAATAGGTAGAAATTAGGAAGCCTGAGTCGAACAGGAAATTAGTGAACAGGTGTCTTTTTGTTCCCTGTTTTTTTTCCAGTTCCAAGCAAGGTCCGAAACATTCATGTGTCACCTAATGGCATGACAAACAGTCTGAAAGTGAGCTGGACCCCTGGAGGTGGAGATGTTGATTCCTATACAGTGACTATATTTCAACAAAACCATCAGCTGGATTCTCAGAGTGTCTCCAAACACATCTCTGAGCACATGTTTCACAAGTTGGAAGCTGGGGAGCAGTACCAGGTGGTGGTGCAATCTAACAGTGGCACCTTGCACAACAGTTTAGCAGCTTTTGGGAGAACAAGTATGTTTTTCTTGAGACAACAAGAAAGTTGCATTATATCTTCCAGAGACTTACCCTGTTTTAATATTGCTTAATAATGTACCATAGGGCATGGGGAAATTCACACTCATGGGAAGTTTTTATCTCGAAGCACGTGTCATGATGTCAGCATGGGTCTGTTAATACCAGTGAGATGTGTCCTTTCAGTAGCTTTACCTGGGTGAATGTGCTTGGAATTCTAGTCCAGCCCAGTGTCTTCCTTCATAGGATGAATGCAGTTCCCATCCCTCTCATTTCCTATGCCTGTACCCATCTGACACATACATCCACTCCATGTAGGCAAGTATTGTGTTCTAGCAGAACCCCAGTATCCAGGGTGTCAGAATGAAACAATGCAATGCCTTGTTTTTAATGTATCCTCTCTCTTTAGCACCTGCATTTGTTATCTATGGCCTTGACTTTTGTGCAGCAGCAGCTGGCTAACATTTTCTATTCTGGGCTACTGTTTTGCACCAATTTACCCCTCCTTTATTTTTCATATTCCTTTCTTAACTGTTTCAGTTAGTTCATTGCACTCTCCTTCTCCATCTTTTCATGGTAGTCTGTATATATATATGTTGCTTCTCCATTCCCAGTTCAGATATCCATGGTGCTCTACAACTTCATCTGTTTGTATTTATGTCCAGGAATTAGTTGTTTGCATAAACATATGCATAGATATTTATTTTCCGGCAAGTGAACCTGAAAAGATTTAGAGTTCTTTTCTGTTAATTACTTTATTCAGATTTGTGTATTGAATGATCTGTGTTTCACCTGGTAATATTCTGCCTTTAATTGTTGCTTCCAGTTCCAGCCTCTGTCCAGGAATTATTAGCCCATCATGCTTACAGCAGTCATTCCTTGTTAGTAACCTGGCAGAAAGCTCCTGGTGTAGCCGAAAGATATGACATTCTGCTCTTGAATGAGCAAGGAATCCTCCTGAGTAACAAATCAGAGCCAGCTACTGCCAAACAGCACAAATTTGAAGATTTACTAGCTGGCAAGAAGTATAAAATACAAGTTTTGACAGTCAGTGGTGGACTCTTCAGTAAGCGTGCAGAAACTGTTGGCCGAACGGGTAATTAGAACATCTTGGCTTACTTATACTTCCCTCAGTCAGATATCATTAAATACATGAACCATCTGTATATTTTGATTCTACAAAAATTCTAGTAAGGTACAAACTCTGGATGTTTATGCATCATTTTTCCTGATGCATGCTTTGCATGTGAATCTGAAAGTTATTATAATAATAATGTGACCATGGTTCATAATAAGGAAATTAAACCAAAATGCTGAATGCTTCCCTCTGTCTTTTGTGGAAATATCTGAATGCTTTATTGTCATCAAGTTTTTAATTCACAGTCTCGAGGTTCTTGGTGCAGAATTTGATGCGAATACACACTTCGAAACTCAAGGCCAAGTCTTGCTTGTAGTCTTTACTGATTTATAGTTTCATGTAGAAGCTAGAGGACAGCTCTGTGTGAGCACAGTTTAAAGGATCAGGCATTCATTAAAATATTGTATTGGAGAGACTCAGTGTCATTTCATAAATACTTTCCTCCGTTTCTGACAGTTGCTGTTGATATTACTTAGCTACTTGTGGCTTAATTGAAATGTGTAACAGCCATGAGTTTATTAAAGGTTCAGCTTAGTGCCTAGACTCTGATATTTACTCTTACATTTATCCTTCTTTTCAGTTCCAGCAGCTGTTACAAATCTGAAAGTCACAGAGAACACCACTGACCGACTGTCCTTCAGTTGGACCACCTCTCAAGGGGAGCTTGATTCGTATGACATCTTCCTATACAATCCAGACAAGTCCCTTCATGACAGGATTTCAGGAGGGCAGCATCTCCAGCAGTGTTCGTTCCAGAACCTGCGTCAAGGCAGGATGTATCGAATGGTGATTGTTACACACAGTGGAGACCTCACTAACGAGTCATCTGTCTATGGAAGAACAGGCAAGAACATCTAAGAAAACCATCTGTCTCCAGTGTGGTACTCATGGGGGACACCAGTGAGCTGGTCTGAGTCTGATGCTCATACTAGATTAGAGCAACTGCTAGAAGTATCAGAATCAGCTCTTAATATGTAAAAAGCATTAGATATATAAAAAGATAAATTCTGAATGATGCAGTTACAGCAGGAAACATAAAGTGAAGAACCCTACAACAGTTCCCAGGAGCTCATGTCAGAAGAAAGACATCCCAGTGTATGCTCCTTAAGCAGAAAAATGGCTGTCTCCTGTTCTAAAAGCAATATTGGCCTGAGTGGAAAATGCAGAAAGGCAAAGCAAGTAGGGATAATGGGATAGGCAGTCTACCAGTGAAATAAAACTTGTTTCCCATGGGAAGCTATGGCTGCAGCTCTGTGTTTGTTCAGCCACATGTGGGAAGCAGAGTTTTCTAAGAAGCTCCAGCAGCTCTGACACTGTGAAAACTTTCTTTATTCCCCTGCGGCACCATATAGGATCCCATCTGTGGGATTACATCTGCACAGTGGTGCACTTTTTCAGCTACCTCAGAAATGGGTTTCCAAAAACTGACTAGAAAAAAGCTGTTTAACATTTGCAAAACTATCAATTATAAACATTGCAACCTCTTTTGGTAACAGTGGCAGTTCAGAATAATAAAGGAAGCTACTGAGATATGCTTTCTGCTTTTCAGCCAGCTGTGGTGGCTGTCTAGTTTATAAAATGACTATCATTACAGGACAAGTACAAGGTCTGCTTGACCTTTTTGCTTCTTCTCACCCAAAGGATGTTCTACATAAAGTAATATTCATTCCTCCTTTTTTCAGTACCAGCCCCAGTTGTTGGTCTCAAGGCATCCAACCGAAACATGACGGACAGTCTGTGGTTCACTTGGGGTCCAGCAGCAGGAGATGTTGACTTCTATGAGCTGAATCTTTACAACCCAAATGGGACACAGAAAGAAACTGAGCAAAGGAAAGACCTGGAAGAGTGGCATTTCCAGGGGCTCATTCCTGGCAGAAAGTATACTTTAGTTGTTGTGACTCACAGTGGTGACCTGACCAACACAGCAAATGCTGAAGGAAGAACAGGTATGGGATTTTTTGTCCCATCTGTTTGAATTAATTAGTTCACAACTGTGTAACAGACTTGTTTTAAGGGAGGATTTATTGTAAGAGTCATTGAAGGTATAAAGATGAAAGATAATCTTAAGTGCATTAAAACAATGGAATATGAAAGAAAAGCAGTCAGCACTGTTTTTCTTTCAAAGGCTCAGGAATATGTTACAACTGTGAAAGTCACCATCATCAGCAAAGGTGCATTAACTGGCTGTGTGTATACAAGATAATACAAACTACTTTGTGATGCATGAAGAAAATTATCCATGTTTCATTTTATTTGTCTTCTGTAAAAATTTGGTAAGAATTTTTTTTTTCTCTCCTTTTTTCCCCACTTTCTGCATAGCACCCAGCCCTCCTAACACTGTGTCATTTACTGATGTTGCAAACACTTCTTTATCAATCACTTGGCTGGGTCCTCCAGACTGGACAGACTATGATGATTTTGAGGTGCAGTGGCTTCCAAAGGATCCCCTCACAGTATTCAATCCCTACAGCAGCAGCAGATCTAAAGTACGCATCATCTATGGCCTGCGACCAGGGAGACTCTATGAGTTCAGTGTCAGAACTGTCAGTGGCGACAGCTGGAAGACATACAGTCAGTCACAGTCTGCAAGTGTGAGAACAAGTAAGTAAAAATTTCTGTTGCACCCTAGCACTCAGCTGAAGAAGATGCAAATCTGTAAAATATTACCAATTCCTTATGCAATCAGTAATTTCTATTAATAAATTTGTGAATGACAATGATGAATTCAGCTAGATTCTAAGCCCTTGCTGTGTGCAAGGTCAGCTGTTTAAAGACTGATAATGGACATACATTTATAATCTTCACATCCAGAGTCAAGCTGTTTGGTTGCAGAGCCTGAATTAATCAGTTTCAGGGGTAAGATAAGGCTGAATATCCAAACTTCTTTGATGGTAGTATATTGAAATAATCATGTTTCTGAATGATAAGACAGGAAGGATGAAAGAAACTGTGCTGTACTAGATTTGGAACTGGAATCAGTGTTTCACTGCTCTGCATTTCTGCCCTTATCTGTGGATCTGTTTCATCTCTAGCTGTCTCTAGTAACTTCAGTAACAGGCTGAATTGAAAAAGTAACATGAAATTGTTAAAATAACTGAGTTGTGGCAAATCCTCATGTCATTTGGGATGGGATTCAGCTCTAAATTGCTTAGTAAGCTATGTACTCTTTAATAGAGCATAAAAATTAAAATTTCACCTGTATTTAATCACTTAATTGTAGATGCCTGCCATCTGAGAGTGAAATCCTGTCTTTGTTACATGTTGTATAATATAAAAGGTGCTCCCGTATTACATGGAAGAAGCATATTTCTATGCTATGTTTTAGTAATATGGACACATCGCATGCTGCCCAGGAAACCAATCCTGAGATGACAATATCAGTACTGACTGATAGAAGTGACCACATGGAGCCCTCAAATAAGTTGTAACAACTTTCTAGAAATCCATTTCTTTGTGGTATTGCTGTTCATGTTAAGACTTCATCAATTAGGAGTTTTTTCCTTCTTTTCACAATTAATTACTGGAGCTTCACAATGCTGATGGGGCGGAAGTCACTAGATCTGATTTCAGATGGCTAAAATGAGTTAGACAGCCTTACATAATAATCAGGCAGTACACATTTGCAGGATAACTGGGAATTCTGACTCCCAGCCTCCGCTCTAATCTGATGGTTGATGTAGAATCTAGGAGCTGTAGTGGGAGCAGAGAGTGTATGACACCTGTCCCTTTTCCCACTGAGTTTCAACTTCTAAACATTTCTCTAGAGCCAGACAAGATACAAAGCCTTCACTGTCGGCCCCAGACCTCTACTGCCATCGCGTGTTCCTGGACTCCTCCCGATTCTGACTTTGATGGGTATAGCGTTGAGTGCAAGAAGATGGACACCCGTGAAGTGGAATTTTCTAAAAGGATAGAAAAAGACAAATCTCTACTTAATATTATGACCCTTGTTCCCCACAAGCGATATCTGGTATCCATCAAGGTGCATTCTGCAGACATGACAAGTGAAGTGGTTGAAGACAGCACCATCACAATGATTGATCGTAAGTGGAATTCAGAGTTGCCCTGAAGACAGGCATTGAGCAGCAATAAGCAATTGCTCATGTTGCTTAGACAGTAAAAGGAATTCTGAACTCCACAATTGCCAATGTATGGAGTGGTGGCCAAAGTAGACTTTGAAGCCATCCTTTTGTCCCCATTGTGACAGACAATGCAGGATTTTAACTACATTGCCTCTCATTACATTGCCAGACCCAATTATTTGGCTCATTCATGAAATATAGGCTGAGAAACATAAATACTTTGTCCTCATCATCACATGCCTTGTCTTCCTCAGTTGTCTTCATGCTCACTGCTTGGCTTTCTGTATCTGGTTGTTTCCCCTCATTGGTGGTAGCCATCCTCAGCACAAATATCCATCAGTAAGGATATTGGATTATAGTACTGCATTCTCTTTTAGTGTCTATAGACTCTTCTGAGGTGCTACCTGACCGAATCACCTGTAGGACTTTTACCTGAGGGAGGATCCAGATTTCTATAGCATGTGCTTTGAAACAAATTTTTCAGTTTCTCTGACTGGAGTGTATCAGTAGCATCTGCTGGTATCTCTGCACTGCCAGGCATCACTGCAGTCAATAGCCTGCCATTGCTGACCCTAGAGGTGCCCCAGATTTTGCACTACCTCAGGATTCAGTGACACAGCACAATACAGAGGCCTGCACTGTTCCAGGGGTAAACTGAAAAATTAGAGGATGGCCAGGAGTCCTATATTCAGGGATGCTTCTGTAGCTGCTTATTAAAAGCCATGTTTGTGTGAAATGCTAGATCATAAAAATTATGCTTGCTTTGGGAGCTATTGAGCTAAGCTAGAGTTCAGTCACCAAACTACCTTCTCCTTTGCCCATCAGTTGCCTTTTAATCTCTTTCATCTATCACAAAGGACACTACAAATCCAGATGTAAGACCTAGTTATTCATGTCACAAGAAGTGAGACTGAGTCCTGTTTGAAGGTTTGCTGATCATGTTTATTCTTACTCGGTTTATGTTAATGTTTGTTTATTGTCACTTACTTGTTTTGGACACTGCTGTTCTCCCTGTTTAACACTGGATGCCCTACCTCAAGGGAACACAAAAAATTGCAGCTAGACTTTGTAGATGTAAGAGGTCAAGCTAAAAATCATATAAATGTATGAATTTTTGGTTCTTTTGGCATTCTAAAAGCTTTTGAAATTTAGCCACCTGCTTACGGTTTTTATGTTTCCTGTATGTGCAATATAGTTTCAGTACTACAGATTTTTAAAAGAATCTGCAATGTAGATCCTTAAAATCCCCACTTTTGCTGCACTTTCTTACCTGTGTACTTCACTTTCCAGTTTACTTCTACTGTGTCACTGTTCAAGGTATGGTTTTGTATCATACAAAGGATGTTTCTATGGAAATTTTGCAGTCAGTCTAGAAAATGGTATTCTGTAGTTGAGTGCTGTGTCTGCTAACCTTGGCTGTTCCTCTGGAAAAGAAAGCAGAAATATAGATGCTTAAGATAGGTAACTTCTGTAGTGAGTGTGTTAAGTGGCCTTCACATACTTGGCTTAAACCTGTGTTGTTTTCAGCAGCTACAGTTTCTATTTTCATAGGCTTGACATGACTTTAATGCATTTCCATGTGGGCTTCTGCAGGAATTCATACTGAGGAGGTGTCATTCTTATTATGGTGAACACACTGCTGGCTTGTTTCATGTTCTGGCAGTTTCACTGTGCGAGGTGAAGACACTTTTTTGATTGCAGAGAGAATGGAATCAGAGACTTGGGTCCAGGCAACTGAGATTTATTACAAATTGCATTTTCCTTATTATTTCTAGCTCACAGCAAATACATAGGTGTTTTTTCTTTATTTTGTATTTATTTTCTATTTGTTTAATTACTCAGGTCCTCCTCAGCCACCTCCAGATGTACGAGTGAACAAAAAAGAGGTGCTGATTACCAAATCCTCCATCAACTTTACTTTTAACTGCAGCTGGTTTAGTGATACTAATGGAGCTGTGAAGTATTTTACCGTGGTTGTGAGGGAGGCTGATGGTAAGTGTCATGATTTAATGCTATTCTCTCTATGTAGCCAATAAAATTTACATGGGGAAGTACATCCCTTATCACTGCACAGCAAAGAGTTCCTCCTTGTCTAATGGCTGAGTGTCGCACAGGTTTTGGATCCCTACTTCCTCCCTAGCTGGAGGATGTAGGGAGTCCTATTCTCATAGAGTCTGTAGCAACTACAGAGCTCAGACAGAAGCAGTACTCTAGATTACACTGTCATGTATGTTCAGACAATTTTTGTAGTCGAAGGCTTATGTTGATTGCCAGTGCCAGTGAGCAGAGACCTGTGCCTCGCTGTGCACAGATTTCTAAAGGTAGTTTAAATGTTAGGTGGAAACACTAAAAGGCAACCACTTTGGAAAGTCTCAGCCATGCTGAGAAGCCACAGGTCTGCCAGGTGATGTTTGCTAACTGAAGAAAATGACTTTGCATGCAGTACTATGAAACAGAACAGAAATAGTCCTTGTGACATGCATGGACATGCTCCCTTTCTGCAGCTGACCTGTTGTTGAGACGTGTCTGGCAAATAAGATACATGTCTCAAGAATTTATAGTTTGTGTTTTTAGAAGTGGCTTCATTCACTGGCATACCAGGATATATTTTGTGACCTTTTTGAAAGTTTCTTAATCTCTCTGTCCATCAGCCCTTAGAAAAAAAAACAGATAATATTTCCCCTGTCTGCTTTGTGATGTTTGGGCAAACTATAAAGCTCCTTGAGAAAGACACTACTCATTGCCATAGCGTTTCCTAGCTGAGTCTCTTCCAATATTGTGAATTTACATTCAGGGGCCCCTGTAATTTCTTGTAGTTTTTCTCTATATACAGTAGAATTGTCAGTTTATGGGGTTTCTTTACTTGCTTTTTGATATAGCTAGTGGTAGGATCCAGGGGTCTGGATCACAAAAACTCCCACCAACAGCACAGGAAAAAATGTCATCACATTTGATGTGTGCATGCCTATTGCAGCAGAAGCTGCACTGAGGACTTGTGAGGAAATCTGCCTAAAAAATAATGGAAAAGTTGGTATGAGAAACAAGGTACCCTAACCATTGTAGCTTTGTATTCATGAGGTAGCCTCCATGTAATAGAAAGTTGGATAAGAACATGTCTGTCAAGAGCTTGAGCCTGTAAACCTCATCACATTAATTGCTGTGGCATCTAAACCGTCTGTCTTTCTCTGCACATGACATAGGTAGTGAAGGACCAAAGCCTGATGAGCAGCACCCATTACCTTCCTACCTGGAGTACAAACACAATGACTCTATACGCATCTACCAGACAAATTATTTTGCCAGTAGCTGTGCTGAAAACCCTGACAGTGACTATAAAAGCTTTGACATTAAGCTTGGAGGAGAAATGGAAAATCTGGGAGGAAAGTGTGATCCAGATCACCAGAAATTCTGCGATGGACCTCTAAAGCCTCGAACTGCGTATAGGTTAGACTTATACTGGTAGTTGTGTTCTGTCGCATTATTGGTGTCATCTGGGTGCCTGATCCACTTGAGCTTCAATAGATTAGTAACTGCACTGTATAATGTTCTTTGTGTTTCACTGCAAATTTATAAAAGCTTCATCCATACCCCTGTTCCATAGGTAAGAACCAGTCATTCACTAACATGGGAAGATATGCTTAATTATGAACAAAACTCTGTGCAGTGAATAGGTTTATTTATTTACCTCAACTTGATGGGAAGCTCTCCTATCACTGCTCAACATTTCTTTGGAAAGACTGAAGATGATTGGCTAAGTTAGAAGAGTACTTAACAGAAGAAGACAAGCATGCTTCACTCAGTCTGGCAGAATTACCCCACTTGTTCTTTTGGAACAAGCTAGAAAAACCTGGAGACCATTTTATCCTGTAGCACCATTTTCAGGCTCCAGAGCTAGGTCCAGGTTATCTGTAGGGTATAGAAGAGGATGGTTGCCAAGACCAGCCTCTGCAGTTACACTGGCTGTGAGACCAAACATGAGCTCCAGTATGGTTCAGTGACACCCCCTCCCACAGGCAAATACTGTCCCAAGAGATCTGCAAGCTGCTCACTGAAAAGCCACATGAACAGAAGGCACATGCCAAGGAGCGCCCATTGTGCTTCTCAGCTTCTTCGTCATCAATAAAACAGTGCTAGCCTACTATAGGCTACTACTGTTCTCATTAGGGCACATTTCCCAAAACAACAGTCTGGAAAATACCCACGTTACCAGGAGAACAAAGAGGGCGATAACATTTATCCATTATCACAGTCGTGCCCTGCCAAATGAAGAGAAGCATTGTCCCCTCTGAGAAGCATTTCTGAGTCCTCTCTCCTGTGCAGCTTCTGCTAGTCCTGCCTTTAGACACGGTCAGGCTGTGTGTGCCAGCAGCCACAGCCCCATCTGTTACCTCTGCCAGGGTACCTCAGAGCCCTCCACCTGCACTAGCTGGGCTCCCCTGTATCTAACTCAGGGATGAGTATTATTAATTAAGTAGAAGATCGATTAACTCAGGTGTCTAAGAATTATCTGTGGTCAGTAGAAGGGTTTTTGTTGTCTCAAAGGGGCAAATGAGTTTTTACTTTTCTGCTGTTGGTTCTGAACATTTGAAGAGCCATTTTTTTTACTGTATTTTTTAGAATCAGCATACGAGCTTTTACTCAGCTTTTCAGTGAAGACCCAAAGGAACTCCCTAAACCGCTCTTTGCAGACACCTTCTTCTCCTTACCGATCACTACAGAGGCAGGTTAGTTGCAGGCTGTTGTCAGTGACTGTGTCGTGTGATTATATATTGTGCCTAAGAATATTCTGGCATCTAGAGCTATTTGTAAGGAGTGGAACAAAACTTGTTGTGGATTTCGTGAGGGCTGCTCTGAGAGGAAGCTGACTTGGCTTATCTACCTTTACTGGAAAATTCAGAGGACTGTTTGACAGAGCTGCTGAAAGTAGAGAACAGGAAAAATGCTTAGTGAGGCTACCACCAAGAAAGCTTCTAACAGCAAGAGAACCACTCCCATATGATGGAGTTTTTACTTTCTTTTACTGTGGTTGAGGGTGAAAAATTTTAATGGTTTGAAAAAATGAGGACAGAAGATCAAGGCCAGGTTTTAGCTAAGTGTTTTAATGCCTTACATTTCCTTGTATTGCCATTTTCTTCAGCTGATAATAACAGAATCCCTGAAAGTTATTGATTCTCTGATTCTTTTGATTCTTTCCTCAAGATATATAAATACACTGTTTTGTTTTTAGAGCCTCTCTTTGGAGTTATTGAAGGTGTGAGTGCTGGCTTGTTTCTGATCGTGATGTTGGTGGCTGTTACTGCTTTATTTGTCTGCAGACAAAAAGTTGGGTAAGCTGACTCCTTTTGTCAGTCTCTGTTATTGAAGGCATGTCAAATCATATTCATTTAAGTAATAAAATTGATTAGGCATAGCTAAAAATTGGATGGATGCACTGAATTGTTCCACAGATAAAATCTATGTTTCCCCAAATATTGTACACACTAAGTATAAAACTAATGTCTTGCATATTAAGAAATCGATATATACTTAATTCAAATGGGGTCAAAATTATGTCATAGAGTATCCTTGTAACTTTTAGTTTGCAGTAGAAATCTGAATAGTTCTGAATAACAACTGGTTTATCATTCAAACTTTTATCTTCTGGGAAAAAAATGTCTTTTATCAAAAAATGAAGTGTTTCAGATTAATTGCATCTGCATTGTATATGGGAAGCTGATCATTTAGACTTTATCATTTCAATTCAAAAATACTGAGATGTAGCATTACCTCACTGTCCAAAAGATTAGCTCAAATTTTGCTTCTGATTTTTTGTCAGTTATAGTTGTATATTTCACATTACAGATGAATCTTAAATAGTGAATTTGCATCTTTTTCAAAAATTAAACAGTATGTCAACTGAAAAGATCTTTATCCACTTAAACTATTTTGCATGACTGAGAGATGTGAAATTCTTTGTAGTTTCTGAAATTAGAAAAAAAACCTCAACATTTCCAGTGCATGAGAAACACTGCAAGTCTGAAATTCAGATCTTTTACTGATACAATTAAGCTGATATGTTTTTGAATTTGCTTTTCATATGCCAGAATTTCAGATTGAAAAAACCCTGTTTTCTGACTAGTCACAGCTTTTAGCCAAAATGTATAAACTTCATTATAGAATATGGTTTCTCGTTGTAAGTTATACACCCAGAAGGATGACAGTCATACTGGTATGGTTTTCCCACATCAGACATAAAGACAAAGTGTTCTCTAAGAGAGATGTCTTTAAGGAGGAGATGGCAGTAAAAAGATGAAAGGCAACACTAGCTGTGTGGAGTAAGTACCACTTCTGTGGCTTTCCCAAAGCCTGCTGTGGTTATGCCACTTATTCCTGCCATGAATGTGGTCATCTGCTACAGGCCTGGTCTGCAGAGTGAATGTGCTGGAAGCTGTAGACATTTTACAGCTCTGAAAATCTATCTCTGTGTTCCTCTGCATGTAGAAAATCAATAGATTTAGGGTCCGTCTTAGCACAGGCCACCCTCCTTAGTGATGGATCAGGCTGCGTGTGTTTCAGAACAAGAAAAATGTCTTACTACCTGTGCCATGCATGCACCCCACATCACTATTGCCAAGCTAAAATACAGCAAAACTGTGAGAAATAAATTTAAGAAAGTATAACTTAGTGCCAACTCTTACCATTTTCAAAACTTAATGATATAACAGAATACCTTCCTTTTTGTTCCAGCAATGGCCATGAGAGACCTACAGCAAGGCTGAACATTCGCCGAGACAGGCCACTGTCAGTCCATTTGAACTTGGGGCAGAAAGGGTAATGTAAAAAGTTTGATTTTTTAACATAGCATTATGGTACAACAGACCCATCTGATCACTTACTGATGAAGTGTTTATTTTTCTTTTGAAATAATTTCCAGGTACCGGAAAACTTCCAGGTAAAAAAGAAAAAATTAATACCTAAAAAAACTTCTTAGTAACCAACTGGATAAATTATGACCGTGATTCATCCTGTGATTTTCTTCCTCCTATTGAATATTTCAGTCCGATCAAAGTCAGCCACTTTGAAGCACACTTCACCAAACTTCAAGCAGACTCCAACTACCTTCTGTCCAAGGAGTATGAGGTGGGATCCTAACCTAGGCAAAGGACTTGCCTTGTGAAGGGGTGGGCTGACTGAGTCAACTGGTTAATGTATTAGAAAGGCCTGCATTTGTTTGTCTTATTCTCACAAATCCAAAAAGGTGGAGCATTTAATTTGAACTCCACTTGTCTTTGTTTAGAAACCAGCTCTTCATTTGGCATCTTCTGTTTGGCAGCCTCTGCCTGATACATGTCTGGCTGAGATTAGGAGCATTTGTTTGTGTGGCACATCTGTGTGCCACATAAAGTATGGAAGGTACCTGACAGCCATGCACTTGCTTTAGAACAGTATGATTACTTATGTAATTTCAGTTTGATTTTTTTATAAAGAAGTACCTGTTTTTTGTCCATGGCCTTTGAGAGCTGATGAGCACTATTTCCCTTTGTGTTGTTTTGTCCTTTAATTATTTTAACCTCACATTTTATTCCTATTCCTTTTTTGCAGGACTTGAAAGATGTGGGTCGAAACCAGACATGTGACATAGCACTTCTGCCAGAGAACAGGGGGAAAAATCGATACAATAATATATTGCCCTGTGAGTTTTAGCTTTGGTTGTGTAATATTGCATCACACCAGCTATTTTTCACTTTGCTTTCATCAAGCCTAGTGGAAAAGAGTGCAGCCAATCCCTTCCCTCCTGTCCGTCCTAGATGAAATATCTCTGCCAGCTCAGGTTCTTGTGCTAGAAGGTAGATGATGCATGGCCCTGAATGGCTTCACACAGCCCAGTAATTTAATTTCACACTAGAGGTGTAATGACTAGCATTCAGTCCAGGGAGAAAAAGCTCCAGCTATTAGGGGCATTCAGTCACTGCTGATAACAAGGATAGTAGAAATAACAGTAGAGTTTTTTACATACATGGTATCATCCATTCAGTGCTCTTTGATAACCTTGCCAAATCTTTGTTCTTCAGAGTACACATCAAACCTACTATACAATGTTGAGCTTGTGTGATTCTGTATGGTAAGACTCATGTGTCAAGTTAACCCTGTTCTTCTCAGGCAAGACCTGTCTCTCATTGAGATTCCCCCTTTAATCTCCTTCTTGTCATTTTGGAGGTAGAACATTGATAAGGAATACCACATAACTCACTGCTCCACATCCCCACTAATGCATGTGGCATGTGCTGGCAGCCCATCCTCTCCTGTGTCCTGGCTGCTCATGCCAGCAATGACACCTGACTGAGATCCAACATGGCATTATCTCACAAATCACTGTCCTGGCAGCTCAGGCACTCTGTGTTTCTATGCAGCGGGCCCTTCACCTACAGAAGATGTTTGGCCTGCTCAGCATTAGTTCATAATATCACTGAAGTGCAACTGTTCTTTCAAGGGCAGAGATGGGCTCTGCTTTCCAGTACAGCATACTGCTGTTAGGATCAAAGGAGGATGCTGTTTTGGCCCTTTTGTTGTCATAACAAATCCTACACAGCTCAGCAGAGGAAATTCAGTATATTTACTGCATCCTTCTTTCCCATCTGTCTCCTAGACTCTGGAACACTCCATAGGACTCAGATTAAAGAGGCAATAAAACCAGCAGTTACTCCTTATAAATTAACTCTTCATATAAAATCTTGTAATAGTGCTGGCAGTCCTTTCACAAACGCATTTCTGTAAGTGCTGAGAGGGACTGAAAATAAAGACCTAGCCCTAAGCCTCTTGTAATCAATTTCTTGCTAGATGATACATCAAGAGTGAAGCTTTCCAATGTGGATGATGACCCTTGCTCAGACTACATTAATGCAAGCTACATACCAGTAAGTGACTCAAAGGTGGTGTTTTACAGTCCTCCTTCCAGTCATAATTTTTCCTTCATCTAAATCTGAATATAAAGCTGGATGGTCAAGGCTCCCTTCCCCCTTCCTTGATTCACTTGAGCTAAAAAACTAAGAACTCATTTTGTGGGTGTGCTGAAAGACTCTGTCTGACTACCATTAAGTTAACTGTGAGTGATTTACCCAGCACTTAAGGACTCCTTCTTGCATTGCTGTAGTTATGTATGATAGCAAGTCTAATTGGCCAAGGACATATTTTTAAAGGTCTCTGATTTTATACAGTGTCCACAACAACTGTAGCTATCATTGCAGGTGGCATCCTCACTGTGGAGCTGTAGCTCATCCTGACAGCATTGGCACCTTGCGGGGTGATAAAACTGGCTGAAATTAAAATAATGCCCTTTTGCCGAAGAGTTATGATCGATAATATCAGTGGCTTTAGCAATACAGATTTCAAGCCAGAACTCAGCTAGTTTATTAAAAATGATAAATAAAATGAAAACCCCTAGCAGTTTTAAAATTGCTTGAGAATATGCTGAACGTAAAAGAACAATGGAAAGCTTTGACTGTCACAAAAGGAGCAGTATTTAGGTAAACTGCCACATTCTCTTCCTTCTCTCTGTTCCAATCAGTAATTTGCTTTCAGGTCTAAGGTAACAATTTAGCTTTCAAAACTATTGTCCCAGCAAGGGTTGCTGCAGTGCCCTGTCTGCAACCCCAAGGCTTTTTCAGTTGTTAGAAGATTTTTTTTCTGCCTTTTTGGAAACTAATAGAGTTCTTTTATTTGCAGGGCAATAATTTCCGCAGGGAATACATAGCAACTCAGGGCCCTTTACCTGGAACCAAAGATGAGTTCTGGAAGATGGCATGGGAGCAAAACGTTCACAATATTGTCATGGTAACCCAGTGTGTTGAGAAGGGCCGGGTAAGTGGTGACTCTTCTTTGTCTGTTTTAATGTCTGTCAAATGTCTATTTTAACATCTGTTAAAACTTACTTGCTTCTTACTTTCATCACACTAAAGCCAAAAAGAGCCCAGTCATGGAGATACACAGCATGAAGGAAAAGGTATAATATAAAGACTGGAGATAGATTAAGGCTGTGAAGTGAGGATACACAGGCTGTGTATCCTCATGCAGCATGTCAAGGCTAGAATTAGGAACAGAGTGATTCTTGTCTCTAATCCAGGACTTTGTTCATTAGACAATTCTCTTCAGCATGCAGAAGGACATCCACCAAAAAAAACTGCCTGTTTATCACATCAAGTCTGATCAACTTCTACTTTAAATATAAGCTCTGGAGAGCAAATGTTGATCAGTAAATAAACCAAATTATCTCTGATATATAAGCCGTGATGTAGTTAGCAAAGAGACCACTCATGCACTTACACTCTTCCTAAGTGCAGGTGTAGCATACCTCCCCAGGTATGACCATGTCCTGTCCCTTCATAAGACAGCAACTAGATCTGTAAGAAGATTAAACAAACTTGAAGTAGTGATCCTCTAGTGGCTCATACAGGGTCACTTCCTCTCAGCTTACCATTTTTTCCTGAGGAGAGGGTGAAAGCTGACACAGGATAGGATCTGTATCCTTCTGCATCTCATTGGTTCCAAGTGGGACCCTACTGCAATGTCTCAGCAAGAGGTGAGCAAGGGGCACTGGAGGCACAGCTCTCATTCCAGCAGAGATTTGAGAAGAGTTGGCAGAGAAGATATGCCCTATAAGAAGGTATCAGTGAAGTGCTTCCCATTCCCCCCATCACAAATGAATTATGGGAACTTCCACTTCCCATCCCTATGCTAACCCATTCCCATGCCAGACCCTGTTTGTTGATATGGCAGAGAGTGGCATCTCTCTCTGAATTCAGCTGCTGCCTTTCTTCCTTCATCCTCAGGCACAAGAGGTCTGAAACCTGCTTCTGCCAGTGCAGGATGGTGGCATTGTTTGTAGCTGTTTTGACCACTAAATCTGTCTTTCCTTGTGTCCCTGCAGGTAAAGTGTGATCAGTACTGGCCCCATGACCAGGATTCCTTGTACTATGGAGACCTGATTGTTGAGATGCTGTCTGAATCAGTGCTCCCAGAGTGGACAATACGAGAGTTTAAAATCTGCAGTGTATGTTTGCATTTTTTTATTTCCTGATTAATTGGCTTAAAACACTTGCAAGGCTAAGTTAGGAAGGTTTTTTTTGCTGTACTACAGTTGCATCATGCCTGACTCCCTGCTGGTGGAAGTTATAGCATTTTCTCTGAAGGTACCTGTTCTATGTGTCCCTTTCTCTTTTGTCCTGATGACCCATACTTTTGAATCCCAACAGGAAGAGCAGCTTGACTCAACGAGGCTCATTCGTCACTTCCACTACACTGTATGGCCAGATCATGGTGTGCCAGAGACCACCCAGTCCCTGATCCAGTTTGTCAGAACTGTAAGAGATTATATCAACAGGACCCCAGATACAGGACCAAGTATTGTACACTGCAGGTATGTGCAGCAGCAAAAGGTCAGTGACACAGAGCCTTCGTGCTTGCCCTTGGGAAGATCCCAAATCTTCATCACTGTTAGATTATGGGCAGCCACAGTTTCTGGGAGATAGTTGATGGTCTTAAGTTTCCAGATACATCAGAGCAGTAGTGCTAAGGCACATGCATTCACCCACAACTTCACCCTGGAGATGGCTTGAAAATTATTCTTAGGGAGCCACTGTGTCTCTTTGGTACCACTGCAGAGCACGAAAGTGTCAGCAGCTACCACTGCTCATTAACATTTGCATTCTTAAATGCCCATGTGCTGCTGTTGTGACCCAACATTTGAATCACAAAGGGGCATTTCAGAGGTAAGACACGGGTGAATCTGACTATATGTGGATGTTGAGACTAGCTGATGGATCCATCCTTCCCTCATTCTGACTGAGACTCCCTTTTCTTACTTCCTTTTCATGCTCTTCTGCTTTTTCCATCTTTGGCAGTCACAGGGCTGCAGTTTTCCATCAGTTCTGTCGTCCAGCCCTACACCTGCATAAAAAATGATAAAATTGAACTGCCTGTTGTCTTATCCACTGGCCAGTTGCAGCAGAGTATAGGGCTACAGAGAGGGAAAGAGTGCAGTCGGTACTGTGTATTCTGATAAACCCATATGTTCACTGGAAGTACCTGAATGTAGTATCTGACACCTCCACCATTATATGGGCTGAGGCTTGTGTCTTACATGACTCTGCCTGTGTCTGCCTGTACAGCATGTGCTGCAGCATGTCAGATGTCTACTGTGTCCCACAGCTGCATCTCTGGAGAGAAGAGGTTTCAAAGTTAGAGTCAGGTGCAGTCTTTCAATGTATCTCAATGACTGGGTTAATCCAAAGCAGAAAGCAAAGCAGGAAGTAGCAGAGATCCCTCTACCATTACTATTCTTTCCTCCTTCCTAAATAAATTCTATTATAAAGTATTATAAAGGCCCAAAGGTGCCATTTGAACAATTTGCTTCTCACCCTGGAGATCTGAAATTTACACATGAAGATAGTGAAGTATCACCTGAAGATAGTGAATGTTTTGATCCATATGCTTTTAAATCTCTTGGGTTGTTTTTTTTTCCAGTGCTGGTGTTGGCAGGACTGGCACATTCATTGCACTGGACCGAATCCTGCAACAGCTGGATTCGAAGGACACTGTTGACATTTATGCAGCAGTCCATGATCTAAGGCTTCACCGCATTCACATGGTTCAGACAGAGGTAAGGTTTGGATAGCCTGCTATGCAGCAACAACAGCTACAGTATGTAATAATCAGTCTTATCTTAAAGGCTCTCAAAGCACTTTGCACTTACTCCACTGTGAAATATGAGCTAGATGTATTTTAGCTCTGTGAGAACTTCCAGTTCAGGATTTTTTCCATTGGCTCTCTTAGAAAGGTCCAAACCATAGCAAGTTGCAGTTATGCTTCCTGTAGATTTCTCCTCTTTTTGTGCCCTGGCCTATAATCATCCCAGCAGCATTATGCATCAGGCACATAACGGCTCACAGTTGCTTCACTGCAGAGCCCAGTAAATGAGCTTTAAGTGAAGGTAAGTCCTTCAGGGGTGGGTTTGGAAGACAAGCCTAAACCAGACAGATAGGTTGACATAATGGGAAAGAGGAATGCAGGACAGAAAATTAGATGTATGTGATTTTAAAACTCTGGCCACTGTGACCTTGTGCCTTTGCAGTTTATGTTTTATTGAGCTGCTCTGTCATTTTCATTACAATGATTTTGGAAAGTTGATTGGCATTCTTCTAACATGCTATGGAAAAGCAAGTACATTTGTAAAATAAAAATTTTGTATTTCTTTCCGTGCTTTTAAATGGTAAGAAAATAATGTTATACTGATAGGAGGTAAATATTTAGGAGCTGATTTAATAAAGTTTTGTGGAGTTACTCTGTACATTTTCCCTGTGAACCGTTAATGGAAGAATGAGAACAAGTTTGATGCATCTGCCTGTAGCTTGATACTAATGGAGCTCTTTGCTGCAATTTGGAAACCAATATGTCAGTGACAGCGTTTTCTGATAGATGTAAAAGTCTAATATGGGTATAAAGAGAGGCCCAGCTGGGAACACAAAACTAAGGGGCTCCTGGAAATATTTTAATCACAGAAGACCTTCTGTTGGAGGGGAGACAGGTTCCCAGCCTAGTCTTTGCATTTTCACCTACATTCCCATCATCCATAGTCTGCAAAGGCAGACAGACATCTCAGGAGGATGGCTCTTTTTCCCTATCTGGAAAAAAGAGGCAACTACCTCAAGAGCCTAAATTTGACTTAGGAACAAGTAAAGTTGTGTGGTACAAAACCTTACTTTGGCATGCTTTGAGCTTGACATGATGTCTAAAAGGCAGCCAGATCCACACAAAAGTCAAAGGCCACAGAGTACCATCATACTGTGACAATATTTTCTGTGACATTATTCAGTCACAGAAAAACAGCAGCAATAAAACAATGCCTCTGCTTCAGACTTGGCTCAACATTGTTTAAGGCAAGGGATTGGAAGTGAAGATAGGCAAGGGAAAACTGTGCATCAGCTCAAAAGACAGCACGCTACAGCAGCTGTAACCATTCCAGTTGAAAATGTCTGTGCCAAAGAAAGTCTCCATGCTTGGCCAACTTTCCAGCGTATTGGTGGGTGGGGTGCAGGATTCTGCTCTGCAGAGAGAGCAGCTGCATGTGCATAAAGGCAGATATCCTCATTTTCCCAGAGCCAGAACACTGAAAGACATAGAGCAATGGCCAAAGATATGAGGGGAGAAAATACATCTACTTATTGGAGAAACTATGTATTTGAGATAATGTTAAAAAGGTACGCCTTGATATATAAACATGCTTGGCCTGACTTTTGGGTACCATGTTAACTAATCAAAAGATTATTATGACCTATGTCACAAAACACAAAGAGTAGCAAAGCATGAAAGTTTAATAATCTATTCTGTCAAGATAGTTTGGTGACTAATCAGCAGTCAATAACATGCTGACCCTCCTTATTTTGGTTGTGAATGTCATCTTAGCTCCATTCTATGAAAGGCAATCTTCAGAAAAGACTGTCATTTGCTATATAATCAGAAACAATCTTAAAACTTATGCTGGATCTGAAAAAAATAGTTTTTTCAGAGATTTTTCTGATTTTTTCTGAGATTTAGGTTTCTCACTGTTGTCTGAAATATTTATGTTATTATAAAATTCTGTGGAAAATATTTATTTTCAGAACAAAAAGAAAAATGAGGAGATAGTCTGTTTTTCCTGCATGCTTCCCTGTGCATATTAATTCTTCTACATATACTTTATACCAAGGCATTCAGAAATAGTATCTATCCAACACAGCACCATGTGAAATTGTACTTTACAGTTGTTAAAGCTTTCACTAATGGCATGATTTGTCAAAACATACTGTGTTATTTATGTTTTACTTGTGTTATTTCTAACAAGAGGTGATCACAAAAGTTTACTGTATTACTAGAGTGAAAAGGAGATTGATTTTAGAATGATATTTTAATTTTTAGCACCACCCTTAATTTTTTGAGGGAGCTAGCTTGTAACGATTTTTGCAGTACAGAAAATTAAATTACAAAATTCCTCAGTGTCTTAAAAACAAATTTTTTGCAGTGTCAATATGTGTATCTACATCAATGTGTGAGAGATGTGCTAAGAGCCAGAAAACTTCGCAGTGAACAAGAAAATCCCTTATTTCCAATATATGAAAATGTGAATCCAGAGTATCACAGAGGTAACTGCAAGTTTATCAAATTGTAAAATGTGTCAAATGTAGTAGCTCACTGACAGTATAATCGAGGGGGAATTTTTCTGTCTTTAACTATTGATATTTCTTTACTTCCTGGACCTTCATTTGTTCCCTCTGCTCTTTTCATTCTTGCAGTTGTGTCTTTATTTTCTCCATTAATAGTTATTACAACATCACTTCCTGCTCCCACCTTACCTTTATGCTCTCACTATCCATAAGCAACTGAGAACACTGACAGCACTTACTGGGCTTTTCTGTCATGCATGGAGTTCAATTTCTGTCTGCATCACCCTCATCTGCTGTTGACAATACAGGCAGCCTTGGAAGATTTCCTATCTGCTTTGACTGGAAAATATAGGTGCCCTAAGCTGTGCTCTTTCTTTATCCCCAGACTCCCCATTCTTGTAGGCTCCTTTTCCTAGCCTACATCCAGTCCCTTGCTGATGAGAGTGGCAGGAGTAGCAAACCTGGCACCAGCACTTCCCTTCACTTCCTGGGCCCATGGCCAGAGGACCAGTGTGGAGAAGCTGTAAGCAGTGGTGACCTTGTGCCTTGTAGAGCTGATTCTTAAGGGATGTAGAAGTTTTTAGGGTCCAGACAGAAGGATCTCAGTAATTCTACAAATTTGGATGTTATGAATTAGGATTATATAGTAAGAAATACGAATAATTTTCTTGATCTAGCCTGTAGGATTTGTCATATACAGGTAGAACAGGCTTGGAGGAGACAAAGCAGATGTGGGATCTGAATTTAGCTGTCATATCCATCACTAGCCAGTGCTGCTGCCACACAGCTACCTTTCAGAGCACTGCTGAATCTGTGTTGGTTTACTTTTTCTAATCTCATTTTTCCTTGCTTTCAGATGCTGTTTATTCAAGACACTAAGAATGTTAGAGATACCTGCTTTTATGAACACATTTGTTAACTAGGGATCTTGTTTTGGTTTTTTTATGTATGTATTTTATGCACCAGAAAGGTGCCAGACCTTTTGGTTGACACTGTATAATTTATTGGTCTGGTAATTTTTTTTAAATATATATAATTTAAATGTAATAGATATTAATGTATATAATTGTATTTTGGCATTATGTAAATATGTATTTTTTCTATGTTGTTTATATTAATATTATGCTTCAGATAATACTATTTTTTCTTATCACAGTTTATAAAAAACTGTTCTACATAAACTATTTTAAATTGTATGGCTAACAGGACTGCTGCGTTTGGGGCGCTATTGGCATGACACGGAAAAAGTCCTATACAGAGAACCTCATTTTTAAAAAATATTTCTTTGTTTGTGAGATGAAATAAGCTACTATTAAGCAAGGGAACAGTAGTCCTGTGTAGGAATTACAATGCTACTCTACACTTTAAACTTACTGCTTTTCATCTGACAAAAATGGGAGTAACCCATATCACAGTGGCATACCTTTTACAGAACTCATTAACAACTGAGTCAAACAGGGTTCACCTCACTAGAAGCAACTGTTTCAGTTTAGTGTGACATAGTAGAAAAATAGCAAACAACTTCACGCTGCGGTGAAGTCTAGCAAACCTTTCTCTGACCAAATACTTTGAGGGGAGACAGGTCGCATCATGATTTCTTTACACTGGTTTAAGAGAGCAGAATCAGACCACAACTTGTGTCTATGCACTTTCACATGTGTGAAATTTTAATTAAGAAAGGTGTTCAAAAATGCTCCTGAGACATTTTTGTTAACAGGCCTGTGAAGATGTGAAGTATGGCAGCTTCCATAGCTCATCAGAAACAATGCCGTACCATGACAGCCAAAAAAAATAGAGAGATCGCAAACATTGAAACAAAGACATGTAAATGTATATATCCCACAGTATACTTACCTGGAGTAAAGCTGCACTTTGCCCCAAGTGGTGGTATCCTTCAAATGCCACTTGCTTTCATAAAGGGACAGCTTGGCCCCAGCATGTGGAATGTTACCTGATGTCACCACCACAGGGGCAGTTGGAATGGAAGAAGGCTCATCAAGGAATGTAGGCTGGCAGGGCTGTCCTGATCATAGAATCACCCAGTGTTTTGGGTTGGAAGAGACATTAAAAATCATCTAGTTCCAACCCCCATGCCCCCAGGCAGGGGCTTATTACTGAAAACATGTTTAAAATTCAAAACATATCAACTTAATTTTGTATGAATAAAAGAACTGAATGATAGCAAGAAGTACAGTCAAAGAGCTCTTACCAGGTATCCTGCCTAGCCCCAGCCAAGTGGATTATGCGCAGCCTCTCTCTCCTCTGCATAGAGGCATCTTATTCAAGGGTCTAAACACTGTTGAGCTATTACTTATCTTTATAAAATGCTCCTCAAATAAATAGTGAAGAGACAATACATAGTTTGTCTACACCATGAAGGAAGGGCTTCATAGTTCTTTTTTCATATATCTACCCATACTCTTCATAGAGAAAACTTAGCTTATTGCTGAAGATAAGTACTTAAATTCCACTTCTGTTTTGGAGAAAGATAAATATTTCTGAAGGCCTTCTGAGAATCAGTAAGTAGCAAACTGAGTGCCTGAGTGCCTAACTGAGGAACTCCAGTGCCACAGCAGGACTGTGCATATCCATGTTATTCTAGTTTTCCTAGAGAAGGTAACAGCCTGATAATCACTCTTCCTACTCCATCTGGGATCTCATCCTTTCTTGACCAAATACCCTCACATGCCTCAGAAGCCACCCTTCAAATCAGCTGTTACAGCTGCTTAGAACATGTAAACTTGTTTATTCTTTTTAGGTGTTTCTGAATAAAAATACTGCTCATTCCCTCCTGCACATGCTCGTTGGTACCACACAAACCTTAAATTCACCACCGTTAATGGAAACTGAAGAAGAAGAGAACTAGTGTTGGAGTGGAAGACATTTTCAAAGAGGAAAGTCTAAGCAAAACCACAAAGAAATGTGAACATTTTCTTTAGATGCTTTCTTTTCTCTATTTCCTTTTGCTAGATGGCTAGGTTAGCAAGTAAGGACAAACAAGCATGGCAGCTTTAGATCAACTCTTGATCAGGCTAATAACTTGTGCCCTTAAGGCACTGTGAAAACTGCTGTTGTGTTACATGCACTGCATTTGGTCCTTTATTTTTTGCAGGGGTAGCCAAGGAACGAAGATCACCATGTTAGTTACCAGCAGTACAATTACACTGTTAACACACACCAAGTGTACCCTATAAATTACCTCACACTCTATATCACTGTGTCATTTTTTAATGCTGAGGGAAATGGAGCTCACTCAATACTATATGATCTGAGGGCAAAAGTCTGATTGTATGCTCTGTATGCATGTTGTTCCTCATTTTCAGAAAGACACACATCATTCTACGGTTTATTTTATCATTCTCAGCTCCCTTGTCTGCAGCTACAGAGTTTATAGTGCATACCCAAAATTATCTCATAGCAGACAGCTAGTTTAATCTTTTCTTTCAGCTAATAATGGACACAGTTCATAAGCCTCTTCCTCCTCATCACTTCATAACATGACAGATGACCTTAAACACTCTGGCACAATGTTCTTGAGCAGCTTTACATTTCTGCCCAAGTAGGTCACACGTGAGACTATACACACATTATTGCTCTGGTTCTGCTCTCTAGCCAATTCTGCTCATATGAAACCAGTGTAAATCCAATGAGAAAAAGTAAAAAAGTATCTATGTAGCATTTTGTTAATATTCAACACCTACTTATCAGTATAAGTAGTTGTATTTACTGTGCCTCTAAGCTGAATGACAGGACTGATGGGAAATTGTTAATGTAACAAGAATACATTTGAGGGAGTTTGTGTGCTGAACAAAGACAGCTCTTAAGGAAAAAGACATCTTTTGAATGTCCTTGATGATGTTCAGAATTCCCTTTCTTGATGTTTCCCAATAATAATGTTAGAAAGCAAGGCTAATGTTGTTGCTGATCCATAAGCTAAGATTTGCACACTTGAAGCCCATCCTTTGAATTTTTGCATTGTCCACAAAGCTACCTGAGTACTTTCATGAAAGTCAACTGGAATGCTTGCCTCAAGAAAATACCATTCCACTTCTGAAGCACTTGCAGGGTTGGGCTTTTAGGTTAATTCAAATTTTTGTATTGAAAGTTATTTAATAATGAAAAAATCGTAATAAGTATTTTTTAATCTGTGCAATAAAATTACAAGATCCACTAGTGATTGTAGGGAAAAAATAGATTTTACATAGCTGGAGTTGATAAATGATATTTTTTATTACTAATGGAACAGAAAAGTGGGTGAGAGAAATAGGCATACTGTGAAGATGTCAAAAAGTGCAACTTTATACATTTTTCTCTGCTGCTATAGTTATTTAGCAATAAATAATGCCTAAAATACCATAAATATTATTTTGTGCCATAATATGCTATGAATTTCCTTCCAATTGTAGAACAGAGAAAAGAAAATGTGTGAGCTTTAAGTTTATATTATGTATTGTATATGGTTATTTACACTTTGACTTTGAAAGCACAAACTTAAACACTAGATAGAGCATGAGCATTTAGCTGTGCTCCTCAGCCTGGAATTTAATATGTGGACTAGAGGGATGAGAACAATAGCCATCAAATCACTCTGTCAGCATCTCTCTCCAAGAAATGCATCTGATGGTCAGAGATACAGCCTACCACAGCCACAGCTCCAAGGAGTGTCTTGGCAGGTGCCTAACATTTATTCAGATTTCTTTCAGTACTTCAGACGTACAGTTTATGTAAATAAAATGCAATACAGAATGACCACCACTCCTTCATGGCCTTGTCACAGATGTCTGGGCTCTGGAGCTGTGAGCTCTGGGACCTGTAACCCCAGGATGCCATAACTCTCAATTGAAATGAGTGCTCACCCTAGCTGGGCACTTGGGCAACTTTCTGTAGACCCCATGCCCTCAACTCTCTCCCTCACACTGATAAAATCAAACTCTCAACCTGTTGGTAGCACTTCTATGGGCAAAGCAAACTGATTTGTTATCAGTGACCTCACAGATCAACAGCTGGTTCAAACTGGGGTTTTGTTTTGTTTTTTTTTAAGGCTAGCAGGAAATACTGGAGACTAGGGACTAGCTAATTGAGAAAAAACTGTGGAATCAGGACACAGAAAGTGTCAGCAATGCCAGTAGTCTAATATCCATGACAGTTTAATTTTTTGTTGGTTTATTTGAAAGCTAGAGAAATACTGTAAGTAACATTAGGAAGTTAAATATATATTGTTCTAGAGCAGGACAGTACACTATAAAGAAAACCCCACCGTTTTGAAATGTGGCTAGCCATAAATTCTTTGCCAGTGCCTGGAGTAAAGTGTCTGAAAAACATTTTCAGTGTTTATTCCTTGCTCATATGCAATATAATTACTTATAATTGTGTTCCTAACAAACACTGGGTGAGCACAGAACTGTGCTACTATTGTCAGTTTAATTTATGCATTTAAGTATATTTTTATATTTTTAGCTACAGTCAAAAAATCAAATATTTGAGTGTATTTTACACATTTTTATAAATACTTCATGAATAAAACATTCATTTAAAAAATCACATTCTTGTCTTCTGTTTGACTGGCTTTTCATTATGGATTTTGTTGTCCTGCTGCTCAGAGAAAAGGTCATAAGTGAGTTTGATTTCAAATTAGACAGTCTTCAGAGAACATTAAATTCATCAGAAGCCTCAGCCTGTTGGGGAAAAAGAGGCTCTGGCCTCTTTTTGCCCACTGGCCAGATTAGTGTCCATGTGGAAAGATACCGTTGTTCTCTTCTCCTCCCTGGTTTTATGCCCTCCTTTAATAAGCCAGGTACTGTCTTGGTTACACAGTGGATATTTGAAACCACAGT